AAATTACTACATTATCACAGCTTCTTTGTCTATAGTTTAAAGATAAATTGTTTAAAAACTAAGTTTGTTTCAGTAATGATGGAGAAACCCCTACCATGTGTTGGGAGTAGTGAGATCCCAAATCCTGAATTTCTTGTAATCCCCTGATCTGAGTACCTACAGCTGCTCTGAGCACGAGACCTTCAGGAGTTCCTGATGCCAGGAGAGTGGTTTCTGGTGGGTTTGGCTGGGGTGTGGCTATCTCTATATAATCTGCCCCTGAACACAATAAAGAGGGCATTCTTGGGGAATTCAGGGATGACCCTTGTCGCTGTCTGTCTGTGTGTGTCTGTGTATTTTAGCCTCCAGCTCCCTTGCCCAAAGCTCGCAAACTGGGTGCCAGCGTACAGAGCACAGACACAGAGGCGCGGTGCACAGCAACTGGAGGTCACTACCGAGATATCGGCAATTGGAGGTCTCCACCGAGGTATCAGCAATTGGAGGTCCCGGCCGAGATATCGGGAACTAGGGAACGCTGAGAGGTCGCCCTCAGAAGGTGAGGGTAGATTGGGGTATATATGTTAATCCTGACGTCCTTCGCTCAGTTTGGCAGGAAGTGGAAGTCAACCGAGAAAGGGGTAAACGAACAGGGTTGTCCCCGGCTGGAGGGGAAGTATGTATTGGGAAAAGATAGAATATATATAGCTTAAAAAGATAAATGTGTACAGATGTATGATATGTTGCTTGTGTTGTCTTTTGTGTTCTGGACTGGAGAAAGACATTTGATTCTAGGAACTGCTAAGAAAGGTATCTTGACTTTAAAAATATGGGCTTAAGAATTTGATGTTTTGGAAAGGAAAGGTTCTGTTTTTGTCTCCACAGATGATGAGAGCCTAAGGATTTATTCGATATTCAAGTGGTTTGAATCCCAGAGACCTCCTGAAATGTTGCAGTGGAGTGTGAGCGGAGGCTCCAAGGCCAAGCGGCTCTAGGCAGCGGGTGCTGAGGTGCTCCCAAGTGTGCAAACCCCGGGATCTGCCTCGAGGACCTAGGAGGCCAGAACGGACCTAGGAGGCAAGAATGCTAGGCCTGCAGGCTTTCAGCGCGGGCCTTAGGGCGCAGAAGCGCAGCACTACCACGACAAGGCCTGTTGGCCTGGACCTCTGTCCCAGCCTGGGGCAACTGGCAGGGACGAAATCCACCCCACCCTGAAAGGGTCTGGGCGGCTGTGCCTTCACCTTCCAGCTCGGTGGGGAGGTGGAGCCTCCGCCCCCCCCCCCATTGCCGCCACCCGCTCCCAGCAAGAATGGAAAATGGCAGTAAATTGCAGTTAATACCCCTAAGAATGCAGCGTTCCCGCCCAGCAGGAAGTAGCCAGATTGGCAACGCCCAAATTTCCTAAAAGATAATTTAAGTGGGGCCCCTTCAATGGTTGCAGAGCAGCAAGCCTGCTTCCCTGAGTTCCGCTCCACTCCATGCACCAGTTTGGACCCAAAACAAATGCAGCTGGGGCTAGAAGGCAGCTGGGGCAGAGCTTTGTTAGGTGGCTGTGGTGGAAGGCACATTGCCTCAGCCCAGTCGGTGCCTAGCCTGGCAGATGCCACAGAAGTGCTAGGAGTATCAGCAAATGCAACAAGGGCTGGAGCTGAGACAAGCTGGAGCACAGACCCCACTTGCCCCACTTGCAGCGGGGCAAGGAGAAGGCAGTGGCAGTTCCAGGCTCTGCATGCCGAAGAGTCTGCATCAGAGCGAATTTAAATCAAGAGACTGCCCTATTGTAGGAGCAGGTGGACTTATGGCTAGTACAACAAATGTCTTGTTCATTAGTTCATTTGTATGACATCTGTTAATATTGCTAATGCCTCTTATGTGGTGAAACAACTCAATGGTTACTTGAATAGCCCTTGAAATGTTACAATTAGCACACCAGATTGTAACTAAATCTAATCTACGATGAAGAAAAAACCTAACAGATGCTACCTGTATAAAGGGATGCTTCTGAATTGATAGTGATGCTCAATCTTTAGTAGGGACTTTGGACAAACACTTTAAGCATTTGTCAAAACAGTAAATGAGAACCTACTTTGCAAATTCATCACATAAAATTTTGTGCCAAATAAAAATCAAGTACTAAGTACTTAATGACACATAGGCTACAGTAGTATCTGGGAGGGAATGTACACGTTTGCCACTTGCTTTGAAATACAGAGACCACTTTTGAAGGTGGATCTGTACTAATGCCAAGTACAAAATGTGTTAATTATTAACTTTTTCCAACATTGTTGTATGTTCTAAAGTTTTCATGATAAAATGTTAGACGAAAGTCAACTGTCTTACAAAAAGTCTTCCTGAGCACATTTACAATGAGAGCCTCCAATAACACCCTGCACGATATTCTTGATTCACTTTGTAAAAAGCATTACACCTGCATTCTAACTCCTAAGAACTGTAAAAAAATGTCAAAACCAATTCTACCGCCTTATGCTTTAGTGATTCACTTTTGCTGAATCATTACAGCGACCATAACAATCTATCTGAACAGGTACTCCCTTAAAAATTTTAAATTTATTTACTGTGTTTATGCTTGCATGCATCCATATACCTATGTGTCAATCAGAGAACACTTGGAGAGTTTATTCTGTCCGTCTACCATGTGGGTTCAGGTCAAACCTACGTTATCAGGCTTGGCTGCAATGGTCTTCACTCACTAAGCCATCTTGTTGGCCTACCCTATGATTTTTTTCCAATTTCCCTTTGTGGGAAGACACTAAAGAAATCGCTCTTAAATTAGCCTTTTTATTCCAGTATCCCAACTTTTAAAACTATTATAAGTACCTTTTGAAAGCTCAGTGTTCATGTTTATACTGTATCAGTTATAGAAGCCAGCTGAAGAGCATATTAAATAAAGGCAATGTTTACTCACACTATTCAGTTTTATAGATAAGTAGACTCCTTAAAGAACCACCATGAAGGACACAATGAATTCTATGCCATTTTACCTTTATGTGATTTTGTGTGTGTGTTTTCCAGTTTAAGCCTGAAACCTGCTATGTAGGCCAGGATGTTCTTGAACTTGCAGTGACCGCCTGCCTCAGCAGCTGAAATGCTGGGATTAGAAGCAGGCATTACCCAGCACACCTGGTTGCACATACTTCAAAATCAGTTTCAACAGTATGTGATATAAAACACAGCTTGATCTTCTGGGTCTAAATACCAGCCCAATCACTTATTACCCGCTCATCCTTAGGATTTGCTAATTTTGCTGTGACTCATTTTTTCACCTCCTGATCTGTAAAAATAAGGAAGTGGGGCAAAATAACGTGTCTTGTGTCATGACAGTTTGTAAATCATTACATATAAATTCCTTAAAACAATAGCGAGCAATATTACCTACTATTGTCTAAGTTTAGTTAAGAAGCACTGACGATACAAGACTCCTTGTATGATTTACAAATCAATGAAAATGAACAATGTACACTGATAGTAATAACTTTTAAAATACAATGCAAATTTTCACAAAGAAGACACAATTTTCAATAATAAATTCTTTTTCAAAAGCTGACTTGTACTGCCACATCATGAGCCCATTATCCAAAATAGATTTCTTTAAAACAGGAATTGTTGCTAGATTTTTGTCCTAGCACTTATTCCAAACTTAATGACTTTATTTTTTACATTTAACTGTGAGGGGAAAAAATTTTCACACATCAGGCACAATAGGAATTAAAACATATCCTGAATAACAATGCAAGCATTTCAAAGTCTGTTTAACGTATACTAGATAAAAACGAAAGCAATAATAGTTACAGGTTTCTATTTCAAACAACCCAACTAGGGATTTAGTCACATTTAAAACATACGTGATTTATTAGAAATATAATCTGGTGATGTGTTCTATAAATAGCCCCACTCACGCACATCAACGTGTGATAATAGATATAATTTGTAAAGCATTTAGAATTACCCTCCCCTTCTGATTACAAGAGATAAAGCATACAACATACTGTAGGTTTATTTTTATTCAAAAAGTTACTGTCTCAAGACATAAATACAAATCAGAAAACAGTACAATTAGGACAATAGAATGTGGAGGACAACAGGTTAGAGTAATATATAAAACATTTTTAGCTGGTTGAAAACAAAGCTGTAAGAACTGCTTTCACAAAGAAGTATTCCTTTCAAGAGTGAGAACAAAAGTCAACTTAGGTTTAAAATCATATATACAGTCCTCTCAGCAGTTCTAGGAAATGCAGTGGTGTGTAAAAGAACATATGCAATACATCTGCACATAACAATGTTTGTAGATGGAAAGTATGTTAGACAAGTCTGGTTTTATTCGTTAACCATGAATTAATAAAATTAAGTGTATTTTGTGATCTTTCAGCTAACCTATGGTTTTTTGGCTACCACAGCCCAACGCATGTTGATTTCCTGACTCGAAAAACCAGAAGCCTTTTGGTATTCACACATTTGAAGATATTCTTGTATTGCAAGCATATTAAGGCATGGAATGATTAAAATAATATACCTCAAGAACTGAGAGACGACTGACAAAAGATATACATGTAATATAAGTTAATATTTTGTTTTAAACGATGTCTAGCTGCCTAAGCCTCGCAAAATGAGTTGATGTCAAAATGGCAAGTGGCCACTTTCTGTTTTAAACTAATTCATTTGTGAAAGGACATAAAATGAAGTTTAAAGCTTAGCTTTCAAAGAATATTATGGGTTATGAATTCTATTATCCCATCTAATTTACATACAGAGGAAATGTACTGTAACCTGTTAGAAGTATCTTTAACCTGAAGACTGCTTGCAAAGACAGATAGATAAAACAATATAAAATACAAATTTAAAAATCATTTTAAAGCATGAATATTCATGCTTTTCTCTCTTTAAACATTGTTAAACTTTCAATATATTTCTGAAACCTCATAATTTTAAGTTGGAATTTAAAAGTAAGAAAAAAACTAAACAAACTGCGCAATTATAAAATCAGCACCAATTTATATATATATATATATATATAATTTTATTTAAAATTTAGATCCCTATTCCCACACTCTAATAAGCTGTATAATTTTTGTTTAGAATTTTTCTGTAAACATACTACAATAAGCTTCTTTTATTTGGAGACAAAATACAGTGGCACTACTGGAAGTAATATCACAACATTACATTTTAATCTTAAAGGACAAGCAAAATTTCAGGGCTGATATGGGATAAGCATGTTTGAGACTGGATACCTTCTGGCAGTACACTGCATCTGGGTATTTCTGAAAAGTATACAGAAGCTCTTGGATTTTAAAAATATCTTAAAATACATTTTAGATGAAAAAATTGTAAAAGTTCTGCTTATAAGTTTAACTTTTTTCCACAATTACAACATTTAAAACAAAGTTTTGTTGATTGATGTTTTAAGCATTTAAATTATGAATGCTAAAAACAATTCTATCCTACAATTTCGGGGTCAGGGAATAAATCCATCCTTAACTTTTGTTTCATGGATGTAAACAGAAATCCAGCAGAGGTCATCATTATTTAGTACAACCAGTAAATAAATGTGAGAAGATTCTTATCTGTACCAAATACTTCTTCAGATTGTTATATAATTTTTTAAAAAAGCATGAAATAATTCATTTAAAAGCCAACTAACAGCGCATAAATAAAATATTTACTTTCTAAGAAAAACTGTAGCTTATCATCAAATTGTTTACTTGTCCTTTACTTTTTTCAGGCAAACAAAACTGCCCTCAATGCACTTCATCTTGGTAAGCATAAGCATGTTATATTCTCCTTAGAGAAAAATCTGCACAGAATTTCACTGTATCTACCACACGTCAATAAATTTCCTCTTCCACTTAGAAAATGACTTCACCACAGATTTAAATGTGTACTGGTATTAAAACATTGACACCCCAAGAACCTAATGAGAGAGGGAAAAAAATTCGTTAAAATAGTCATTTATCTCTTATAAAATATGTAAATATTATACTTTATAATTGTTATATTAAATAAAATATTAATAAGACAACTCTGATAATGTCTTTTCAGACCCATAATTACAAAAATAAAATTATTATTAATAAATAATAAAATAAATCTGTTTAAAGTAGCCTGATGTATTTATAAATATTAAGTGCTTTGAGGAACACGCCATTTATAATTATAGAATCTTGGAACCAGGTATTAAGGAATTCAAATTCCAGTTTTACCATTTTGATCACATTTACCATAGGTAAGATTATTCTGTATTTATTATAAGACAGATTTTATTTTGCATTTAGTATCTTCTATTAATTCTATTTCTTATGTTATGTTTAAGACACTATTCACTAAAAAGATACTTTTTAAAGTCATGAAAATTTAAAATAAAGAGTCGAAGACTTCTAAAGGTACCCAAACCTTTAAAGATTACTTAGCACTCAGTTATGTGACTGCTGCCATCATGTGGTAATGCTATAAAATTACATATATATGAGTACATGTGCTCACTTCCTTATTTCATTATCACAGGAATCTAAAACATTATAAAATTAACAAAGTCTATTTACTTTCAGTATTCAATATATATTAGAATGTCATAATATTGGTTCCCCATTTCTTTTTACATCATCAAATTGTAGTTTTCTCTGCATGTTAAATGCCAAAATGGGTACAGTTTCTATGGCTGTTTCATTATTTTAGTACTCTGACAAACATCTTTTTGTACCCTTCATGTTATGAGGGAAACAAATGGCACTATATAAATACATAAAAAAAATGGAAAGCTCTAGCTTTTGACTATAATTTATCATTTTCAACTTCCTAATCACATTTCTTGGTATTTAACACAAATAAGAACTGATTTTATCTTTAGTTACGTAGATATGACAGTAACTACTATCAAATTAATACTGGTGCTTTTAAATACATTTAAATACCACATAATTCAATATACATCTAAACTAAAGAATTATGGGTAAATCAGGTTTTCTGTTGCTATAGAGCCATGTACTCAAGAACATATACTAACAAATCTTACTATTCGAGTGTGGTACTTATCTCAATGAAAGTATGAATGAAGTATTAAAGGAACAGAGAATAAAATACTTATCTGGTGAGATCATATCTTAGATCAATATCACTTTTCAATATCAAAACCCTTGTTTGGGTATTTATTTTTTCTTTTTGAAACAATGTGGTCAACATTGGCCTTGACCTCATGATCTTCTTTTATAGTATAAGGGCATGGTAAAAACTGTCCACGTGGTGTCCAAAGTACAGCAATAACAGGTGTGTGCTACTATCTCAGTTATATGTCATCAGTTTTCACCATGCCTTTATACTATAATTATTCCCCTATTCTGTCCACTCATAAATACCAAAGAATTCTTGAGATATAATTCTGATTTATATCATCCAATCATTTGAAAACCTTCAATAGGCAAGCCAAACCTGCAAGAAAGGTCTAAAGGCAACATTCAAACACCAGTTGGTCAAGAATTCCAAAAGTACTTTTAACTTTTTATTACTACTGCACATCAGGTCATTGCCTAAAGTTTTGATTTAAAACTCCTGGGACATATTTAAATTAAACCTACTGATTCATCCATAATTGAGGCTGGATCAAAGAAATCAGGCTTCAGTTCTGTTCTCTCTCGTCTATTCTTTGATGGTGGCTAAGGAAAGAAAAGAGAAAGTTGATGCTTCTCTATACCTATACACGAGATAGTAAATGAAAATATCCATACATATTAATGTCATTAGTTCTCTGGTCTATGTGATTTTTCAGGTGTACCACAAAATAATTCAATCATTGCTTGCCAACCTCCCATGCCCCTCCCCAACAAGAATGGTTATAAGTACAAAGAACTTCATTAGAAAAATAGTCTTAAAGTAAAAAAAAAATTTCACTTTACTCTTAAAAATATTCATGGTGAAGCATGTTTTTAGTCCCAGCACTCGAGAGGCAGAGGTAGGCAGATCTCTGAGAGTTCAAGACCAATTTGGTCTACAAAGCAAGTTCCAGGACAGCGAGAGCTGTTACGCAGAGAAATTCTGTTTCAAAAAACCACACACATACACAATCACTCTTATAATATCATTTTCCTTGAAAGACACCATATAACATTCCTCTAAAGGGACACAGTATTTCTTTTTTTCAAGGAGAATACTCATTAAATATACCATGACCACAGAGACTCAGCTTGTTATAAGTTCAGCTTTACCAATTATAAGTTTTCTTCTCCTTGGGTAAGTTAACTTTTTATATTTTAATGTCTTTTATCATCTCAATCTATCTCACAAAGCTGAATGAGAATGTTGTTAAAATGTATAAGCATACTACATATACTCTAACCACATGTAATTTACTTTTTAAAAATCTTGTATTTACCGTCTTGTGTTTCCAGTAATTTAACTTTACTTTTAACATGAAAGTTTGCCTCAGCAAAAGGTTTCTACCTGGATTGTAATATACTACATTTGAAATATATTATTTCTAATACACTATATTAGAAAGTGATGATACTTAATATACTCATAATACTTTTTAAAACTTAGTATATAAACATTACACATTATTTGATTTTTGTAGTAAAAATAAGCAAAATAAAGTCCTTTGCAATCCTATACATTATTAAATTAACTTCAAATATAAAATCACAACTTTTATTATTTTAAAATGTGAGAATATTTTAAAAAATACTTCTTGCCTTCAGAAACTTAAACTTTTGATCAACTTTGCAACCAAGTTAATAATATGCCTTAAGACAATTCAAAACAAATATATTTTTCTTTGTTTTCTCTCTGTAGCCCTGGCTGGACTGGAACTTGCTCTACAGACCAGTCTGGCCTTGAACTCCAAGGTCTTCCTTCCTCTGTCTTCTAAGTACTGGGACTAAAAGTTATGTGTCACCACTACCCAGCTCAATTGTTCCCCTACTGTGTATTCAGCCTGTTTAACACATATGCTTTAATCCCTTCTCATATACTTAAATCCCTGAACATATTTGTAGAACTTATTCTTTTGATCTTTCTCAAAGAAATAGCAACTTTATTTTCAAAGGATTTAAACAGGAAAACAAATTCTTATTTCTAGATGTTTCATACCAAGTCTATATCCATGGTGTCAAAGTCCATTCCCTCATTAAGATCCTCAATCCTTCCTTCTGAGGACATCATAACATCTTCAACAATTGGCTCTTCATCATCTTCCATTAGGCTTGTACCACGCCGACTAGAGAAATATAAAACAAGGTAAAGATCTGAACCAATATCATGACAACTGACATATAGGTAGCAAGTATGTAGTTTTCTATATTCGAGTATAATGGAAAATGATGGAATTAAAGGTCAGGGAAAATGATTAGGCATTGATCATGTCATCAATGGTTTCAAAATCCAAATGTTCACTTGTTTAAAAATACTAAGAATCTGTTTATTCTACATTACTTCAATACAGTTAGTTTTTTACTTCTGATATGCCATATACAATATTCAATGAGAATTTTCCACATGTGAACATAGCAGATACCTCAAATCCTTTTTGAATGTAGGCAGGACACAAATTAATAAAGAAACATAAAACAGACCAAAGAAATGACATTTTTAGAATGCATATATTCTGATTATACATAGCGCTGATGTTAATCATTAGGTACTCATTCATTCAATGCCAAATGTGTACACCAGCCACACATTCACTCACACATCACATGACGCCTACTCCATGACAGGCTTCCATTGTATCCTAAGGATGAAAAAAAAGTGAGTAAAACAATAATCCTGCCCTCAAGGAGCTTACAATATACTAAGGGAAAACAGATAAAATTGACAACATGATACACATTACAATATATCCATCAAATGCTATAAGGGTAGGTACACTAAGAAAATTAATTCTGCCTCATATAACACTCAATGCTCAAAGCTGATTTCCTCCATTGTGAAATTCAGTCAAGAATTCATATAAAAATGAAAAATAACATCAAGATCAAAAGCTGTGTTTTTTTCACATAATCACGGGTAAAATAAACTAAATTCACAAATTAGAACAGATCAGCATATAGTAGGTAGACCAGTGGTGAATTTGCATGTGATTTCTTTCTTTCCAGTTTGGTTGACATTACTGTCTTTCGTTTCCAAAGATCCCTCAGATCCCCAAAACAACTCACCAAAGCCTAAATTATTTAATTAAGTAGTTTCAATGTACACAATACTACAGTGGATCACAATATCTGATTCAGGCTTTATAAACAAATATGCTATGTCAGGCATAATAATTCTGGATAATAAAAGACAATTTTATTATTCTTTTGTGAAAATAAAGGCAAAGGCAATCTTTGTGTTTTGCATATCATATAATCAAAACCCAGAAATCCATTCTGTATTTCCTTTACAGTATACACTGAAGGTATATATGATATAAACTATGGAGGAAAATGTAATTCAGAAATTTGTTACAGGATAGGTATCATTAATGAAAGAAAAATCATTGTAACGCAAAAGTACTTTAATGTTTCCGGCAATCAACCATTTATGGTACAACCACCAAAAGAATCCTCTGGTGATAGCTGTTCAACTCAGATAATACCTTTTAGTTTTCTAGCGATTGCCTACAATCAAGAACCAAACTACATTGAAAACAAAAAGAACAATGAACATGGTAATGAAATAATGTGATATTCTAGACCACAAAGGTCCTGGTGACTGGTACCAAGTTTGTAGAGGACAAATATAAACCAAATAATTATATGGCAGAATTCTAAACTGCTTGAATGGTATTTAACTAGAAGCTAAAGAATTGGTTGTAGGATCAATCAAGCATAAGTATAATACAAAATAAGGACAATATAGCAAGAGAAACAGGACAAAACCAAGTGCTAGTGCAGACAATGAGCACAGGAGACAAGCCATAATGGTGCATATTTAGTGCATCCATAGGGGTTATTAAAACCACTACAGAGATAGGGTGAATATTTACATGCCACCATTGGTGTGGTGAATTCTTAAAGTCAACAAAATAAAACAAAATATAAACTTTAAAAGAGGTAACAACCACTATCTCCCAAGTTTAAAACAATACATTATGTTACAATGCTTTCAAACTTAAAATAATTAGAATAACATTTTTGCCATGTATATAAAGCACGATCTCAAGTCTACTCGTCAGCAATTTCATGAAAATTTCTAATCAAAATTTCTGAAGTATTTATCAAGTTCTCATACAGAATCCAGTAAAAACAAAGCAAGAACAATTGTTAACACTGAACATTTACTTATTCCATGAACATTTGCTTAATGTTTTCTATGTGTCAAGTTCTAACAAGCAATAATGAGGTCCTTGCTCTTGAGAAGCTCACAGTCTAGAAAATTGGACAAAATTGCAATACATAAATAATTACAATACATTATGGCAAATGCTGTAAGAAATACAAATATAACAGTTATGGGATCATAGATGACTACAGTTTCACTTAAGGTGACACTTAAGTCTGTTTTCACCATGTTCTATCAGTTTCTAGGTAATGAGATGTGATATACTAAAATGGAGGCAGGAGGCAAATTTTGATCTTGCATGCCATGAACTAAGTAAAGAAATTGAACTTTATCCAGCAGGCAATGGGAAGCCATGGAAAAGTTCTAAGTAAGAAAGTTACATGGTAAGGTCTTATTCTAAAATTTTAATTTTGGATGGTAGTGTGAATGATGGAGTGGTGGAAAGTGTGAAGTGAGAGGTTTGGTGAGCAGATAAATGGGGAGTTTAAAGGAAGAAAACCAGTTAGAAAGCTAATTATAATAGTTCAGGTGAAAGATGAGGTCCTGAACTAAGATGGGAATATAATTAAGATGCAACACAAATGTATTTTTAATTCTGTGTACCAAAATAAACAAGGATTCATATTTATATTTTTCCAACAGATCAGTCTAAGTATGATTGGTCCTGTGGCTAACTAGTTAGTATTTGACTTAAAACATTTTATTTTTCTGTTGGAAAGACCAAAATCTAGTTCCTTGATTATTTCAGCATAGTTACTCTAGAGTTTGCTGAAATTGTAGATACGGCACACATTAAAGTATGTTAAAATGAATTAGTGAACTTCCTAGACTCAGACAATAAGGCACTCTCACTTACATGGCATGCTGAAGATTAGTTTGCAGTTTAACATAGCTCATTGCTGCTCTCTCCTGCTGTTGCCTTGCTTCCTCTTGTTGTCTTTGAGCTAACATCCATGTTACCTGCGTGCTTCAAGGAGAATTTTATTCTTCTTTTAACTTAACTTTTTCTATGTAATTAATAAAGTTCTAGTAAAGAAATTGATCATTATACTTACTTATAATCAAGAGGAGTTTGATGGTTTGATGGTGTTCTGTCTGCATTGGATAGACACTCATGAAGCTATCCTCAGGCCGTAATCGTTTAGGTTCTCTCATAATAGTGGAGGTGAGCTGTGGTGTCTGCATCATAACAGGGGTATGCAGTGTTTGCTCTCTGCTCAACCACATACTGTCACTACTACTGCTTTCTTCAGCTGAAAGAGAAAATTTACAGCAATGAAGTTTGGCTACTAATTGTAACTTATCTGGAGTCTAATATAACTCATTTAAAACAACAAACATCTGGTTTTTCCATATACTAGAGTATACTGGGTCACACAAAGGTCTACGTTCCTCCCTGGTCATACAGTCTGCTTGTGAAGAAAGAACAGGCAAGCAAATTAAAACACAGTATTGTAAGTGCTACGAGAAAAGCGAGACAGGGGGCATAAGAGCAGTGACAGTTTAGAGACAATTACACAGAAGTAATAGTAAGAGCAGGTAGCATCTGCACTAAGAAAGAGTCTCTACATAGATCATAAGAGCAATGACCAAATCATATCAATCTGTTGATATCTGACCTACAAAAATGCCAATTTCAGATGGTTCAACCCAAAATCTTGCTACTATAGGAATGTGAAGATTAAAACAGCAAAAAAAAATAAGACTGAATAAAGAAGAATTCAGTATATAGTCAAGTACATGGTAGGTAAGCTGCAATATTCAGGATGAGGTGGAAAGAGAAGTTCACAGTGAGATTCTGTTTTAAAACCCAATGCAATAAAAAAAAAGAATTAATGTGTGGAACATATTGTGATCTCAGTTAAGGTGACAAGAAACTGCTCGTAACAGTTTGAAGAAAGAGAATCAACTTGGTAAGTTACATGCTTTAGTCAATATGGTAGTAGTATGGATGGTGGGCTTAAGAATAGGAAGGTTAATTGGTGTAGGAGGGTCTTCCATCTAGGTGTTACTTTCATTGGTTAAATAAAGAGACTGCCTTGGCCTAGTAACAGGCCAAACAGAGTTAAGTATGTGGCTCAGGGAAGTCAAACTTAGTACTAGGGATGGGGATTAGTAGGAAGGGTGGTTTTTCAGTCTACAGGTTGTGGGTGGCTGAACAGGTCTTAAGATCTTAAAGCCAAAGAAAATACAAGTCTATATGTACATAAAGTAGTGGACTATTAAAAAGTTACACCTGCAAAATCTATCCCCCCAAAACATATATAGGTGTCCCCATGATTGCAAATGACGAAGTCACATGTCATTGAGTTAATAGTACTGTAAAACTAGTTACTATGTGGTATTTTAATACAAGACAGAGAGTGTGCACATATGTACTTTGTGCACATGTACACTGTTTTAAAGAAAAGAGTTTTGAGGATAAATGTGCTAATGTCCAAGTACTCAAGGGATTAGACAAAAACTTCACATTATATAATATAGTTAAGATTATTTTGAGTTCTATTATGTTCAGGGTCATTTTCCATTGATCTGGAATTTATCTTTCCTTCCACTATTTATTTATTTATTTATTTATTCACTTTTTGTTTTGTTTTTTGAGACAGGATTTCTCTGTGTAAACACCTTGGCTGTCCTGGAACTAGCTTTGTAGACCAGGCTGATCTCAAACGCATAGAGATTTGCCTGCCTCTTCCTTCCAAACACTGGCAATAAAGGTGTACACCACCACTGTCCAGCTCTTTCATGCATTTATTAATGGCAATTTATATACAGCTATCCAAATACCTAAAAAGGTCATTTATATTGTTTGTAAAATTTCATCTAATTTAATAATCTACTTGTCAGATAAAGGAGTAACTGGGTGACTCAGCACAAATTGTTAACTACTCAAAGAAAAGTTTAAGATTTATAATCATATTCAAGAAACATCCTTTTAATTTGCCGACTCATCTATTAAACATGATACTTCTTATAAAGCATCATATTTCAATTTCAGGGTTCTATCCTTAGTTGCAGTGGGGCTGGGACTTTATAGCCAAGTCTAAAATTGGACACTTCTCTAGTCCCAATGCTTGGAAAAGTGGACAAGCGATTCATGAGTTCAAGACCAGCTCGGGATTTATCATGAGGCTCTGTCTCATGAAAACCAAACAAACAACGAGTTGAGGGAATGCACCCTCTACTGCCTGCAAACAGAATATTAAAAAAGTTTCCAGGCTGAGGCCTTATACTGGTAGCTTCCACATCATCTTTTAGAATAATATTCTTGGGGCTTAGTGAGATGCTGATATGGAGACATTATAAAAGGGTTTTTTGAGAGACAATTCAGGTGATGTCGGGTATGTAGGTGAAGATGCTTCCATATAAATGCAGCCACCAGTCTTTAGGCCTTTCTAGCTTAGGTACCATAACCTTACTACACCAAGTTTTAAGATAATTTCTTTCTCAGCAACGATAACTACAACAGTTCTTGACAATTGCACTAAATTGTTTAAGAGCAACTGAGAAAAGAGGAAAAATTTCCCTAGGTCCATACTGAGCCATTTTTGGGATGCTAGGGGACCAAAACCACAAAGCATAATGCATTCCTACCTATGACAAACATCACTTTTAATTTCTATTATGTTCTTCACAATTATTTATTTCTGAATAGAAATTCAGGTTATACATTACACTATTTTAAAACATGTTTTGCTGTAACAAAATGATCTTATCTCATATTGGAACCATTTTCATATACATAGAGTACAGAATAGTGATGAAAAAGTAACAATTTGTATTACTTATCATCTGAAAAGGGAGAATATGCCTCAAAGAGCTGACAGACTGTCATGTACGTAAAATGGTTAAAACAGCACATTGATGCATAATTGATACATTGTACAAGCTACAACTGAGTATCATATATCACACGATAAGCAAGGAGACTCTTAATGACAATTCAGTTGGTTAGCAGGAAGAATAAGTTTCAACAGTATTAACTATATCCTTACGGAGTGCAAGTTGCATGCCTTCAACCACTTTCCGTTTTCCTGTAGATGGTTTTGACTTTTTACTCCGTACAGTTGACCCCCGACTGCTCATTCCACTAATGACTGACATGGTATCATCATCACCACCAGCTAGCAAAGAATTTCGGTAAGACATCAGAGGAAGCCATACATCTTCTCTTCGGAGTGACATCTGGAAGGTCATAAACTTTTCCAAATAAACATACCTTTAAAAAGAAGTAGAAACCATTAAGCTGGATGCAGAGCTGCTAGTTCAAAACAACCCTTCCTTGTAAGAACCCGAGTCTAGAACTTTATTACTTAATCTTAACTCCAGCAGCACAATGAAGAGAAAATGTCTATCAGAAACCTCAAATTAAATAAAATATTTGAGAGTATTCCACGGTGTGGGAGGTCCTTCTATCTATGTGTTGCTTTTATTGGTTAATGAATAAAGAAACTGGCTTGGCCTGATAGGACAGCACAGAGCTAGGTAGGAAAAACTAAACTGAATGCTGAAAGAAGGAAGAAGTTTGAAGTCATGAAGCCGATGCCAGAGACAAACATGCTGAAACTTTGCGAGTAGGCCACGACCTTGTGGTGATGCAGAGATTAATAGAGATGGGTTAAACTAAGATGTAAGAGTTAGCAAATAAGAAACTAGAGCTAATGGGCCAAACAGTGATTTAAATAATATGGTTTCTGTGTGATTATTTCAGGAGTCTGGGCAGTCGGGAAACAAAATAGCAGCCTTCTTACAACAATTCCAGCTTAACATTTGTTGGACATCTGCTATATACTTGGTACTAAATAAGTATATACATCTCTTATCTTCAAAACTTCAGCTTGGTGGAAAATATGTGTCTACACTTGAATCCAAATTATCATAAAGTTTTTATATAAAATTCTGACATCAAAATTTAATATTCATATGATGACTAGGTGCCAAGCATTTTTCTTAAGTTTCTTTACAATTTTGTATGGAAAACATTCTCTTCATTTTAGATGAAGAAATAAAGAAATAAAATAATGTGATTGTAATCATGAAATGGACAATGTCATGACTCATTTGGATCTCAGGGTATGTATGCAACAAAATTTACAAAGTCTACATTATGCTTAAATTAACTATACTAACATAATTAAAATATTTGAAGTAATTGGAATAAATAATTCCAATCAATTCAGATTTATCAGCATAAGGAAAATCAAGGGGGGGGGGAATCAAACTGCTTTATAGTAATGATTAAATATATCTTTCTGGTTACAACATACTTCAGCCATACTACAGTACACTTCACACTAGCCTATGAACTGGCTGCCAGTCTGGAAACCAATACCAGTCTGAGACAAGACTCAAAATTTGAGCCAAAATAAACTACTTGGTAGAAAAATTAGAGCTCCATGCCCACCATATCCCTAACAAAATATTAACAATAAGAAGATTCTAGGCAAGGGACATGGCTCAGTGGGTAATAGTATTTGGCCAGCAATCATGTGAAGCTGAGTTCAAATGCCCCAGAACACACTCACATATAAAGCTGGGCATTGTTGCAAATGCCATAACTCTAGCACTATGGAGTGGACACATGTAAATTATTAGAGATTGGTGGAAAACAGGGCTGAGAAACTTTGTCTAAGGGAAGAAAGAACGAGACAAACAAATAAGTAGCCTTCGTAGAAGCCATTCCTGTTTCTCTGCTTCTCTGTCACTGGGTTTCCACTAAGCTGACTATTTTATATATAAACCCCATGTACACATTTTGTGGATACATATACTGGTCTATAAGCTTTCTTGTTTATACTCAACATTATATTATTTAAATCAATCAATTATGACTATATTCCATAACCTGAGCCATATTGGTGCATATTCTTCTAGGTAAAGGAGAAGTTATTTTGACATTTTCCATATTCAAACAATATAATATTCCCTGTTTTTTAATAGTTCTTATTATATTCACAGTTCAAAGATTTGTAGAGTATGTACATATAAATGAAGTGACTAGGCCTGGAGATAAATGGAAAGAAACCTAAACTTTACTAAATAATGTCAGATCATTCCAAAACTAATCATGTATCAATTTAGGTCATAAATAATGTATCAACAGTTCTATTGCTGTACAACCTTAAAAATATAACATTACCAGTGCTATTTAGTCTTGTTCATCTGCTACAATAGAAATGCCATTGTTCAATCAGCATTTCTCTAATTCATGGTCTAAGAATTTGGTTTATAGATCAAAGTCTAAGGGTGGCAAAATGGACCATCAGGTAAAGAAACTTGTTGCCAAGGCTGAGATGATCTGAGCTCAATGATAGTGGCCAGGAGAGTAAAAAAAAAAGATCATTCACAAGTTGTATTCTGACCTCCACATGTGTGCTGGGGCCCACAGGCATATGTATACACATACAATAAATAAATATATTTTTTAAAACATTTATAAAAGCAGAAAGATACTCTCACTGTGTTGCTTAGGTTGCCCTTGAATCTTTCTGTCTGTGTCCCAAAGAGCTAGAACAACAGGTACATTGGACTTTGTCCAAGCAATGCAAAATTTGCTACAATAAATTCATACAATAAAGTGAACAGAAACCAATTATACATTTGGATCTCTATCACAAATGAATGTACTCATGGAATCTATGGACTCAACATTATAAAATATCCCAATAGCCCTTGGAAGAAACTTAGTGTTTCTCTTCTCATTCAGTAAATCCAAGTCTCTAAGTAAACATTTAGTTTTGTCTTCTTTAGAATTTCATACAAAATCTATAGTGAGTTTTCAGAACACATTCAACTATGTGGTATTTCTAATGTTTTATCCCAATATACTTCAAGGATCTAGAAAGAGGGTAGGCACTAGAAAGTCTCTCCATAAGTCACCATTTAAGGAAATTAATGCACAGGAATTTCTTTAAATATTAAATTAAGGAGAGAAACAGTTAATTAAAGGAAAAAATATGTAGTTTTGTTTTCCATAACAGCCACATTTCAGGATACAGACAAAACAGGGTAAGTCTGATGGATTTTCAATATTACGGTCCTTTAAATGCTGCCTCCTTAGTTGATCTACAGCGAGTATTCAGCAAAGAATTCACAAAGCATTGCAGTTTTACCTCAAAAGGTACACAAATACTGAGAGTACAACTCTCAATACTACAGTGCAGTATTGTTCACAGAATACAGACATTATAAAACCATGAAGTGAAGTAGAATGATTTATATATTAATATGTTACAGATGTGTGTTGGAAAGAAAAATAAAGTATAACAATTGTTCTTGAAAATTTCAAAATGTAGTTAAGCTAGACATATCTAGAAAATACATACACTGTTCTTTTATCTTGTCGGAGCAGTTTAGAAGAAAATTCACTGAGAATATCAAGAAATGCCAAGTTTAAAGGTGGATGGCTCTCCCCTTGTGGATTAGGCTCCTTAAAAGCAAACTCTATGCCATCTCTGCAAAGAAAATAAAATAAAGAAATAATTATTACAATGCATATTACCAAGCATTTTAAAAATTAAAAATAATTTTAAAATCAAAGAGACTATCATGTCATTCTAACACAAAATAACACACACACACACACCCATCATTTAGCTAGCCATCAGCTAAATGTGGCGTGGTCTAATCTACATTCTTTTCTGGTTTTTTGACATTGTTTCCTTTTATGACATAGGCTGTTCTTGAACTTGTGATTCTTCTGCTTAGACCAGCCAAATTTTGGGATTAGACAAGTGTGCTGAAAAGCTCAACATGTATTCTTTACTCGAATGCTCTTTCCCACAAAAATAGTACAAATTCTTATATATTCTAATCAACATTTTCCCATTTTTTTTCAGACTATGAAAGTCATACTCTAGCACATAGGACTACCCCACCTATAATGATTTGCTTAAAGCTTTTTAAAAATAAAAATAAAAAATTAAACTCTAACCAGGGCTCATTAAAAAATTAGATTAAACTCTAATCAGGGCCCAATTTAACCTCATTAGTATCACAATTTAAATATCCCAATTGATCAAGATAACAACCACATTTGTGCTCTATCAAAATGTAAAAGGGTAGAAAAACAATGAAGATAAAATTGGGATAGAAAGCATATATTATGGTTGTTTTTTTTTATTGGTGTTTACTTGATGATTTTGTGGGACTACTAACAGTGGGAATGCGGGTGTCTCTTGAGTCTTTTTTTTTAAATAATTTGCTTAACTCTATTTTAAGCAAAATCTTGGTGTAAAGATGCCAGATCCCCTGAAACTGGGGTTACAGACAGTTGTGAGCTGCCATGTGGGTACTGGGAATTGAACTCAGGTCCTCTGGAAGAGCAGCCAGTGCTCTTGACCACTGAGCCATCTCTACAGTCCAGAGTCTTTTTTTTTAAGATTTATTAATTTATTATGTATACAACATTCCTTCCATGTATGTTTGCATGCCAGAAGAGGGCACCAGATCTCATTATAGATGGCTGTAAGCCACAATGTGGTTGCTGAGAATTGAACTCAGGACCTCTGAAAGAGCAGTCAGTGCTTTTTAACTTCTGAGCCATCTCTCCAGCCCTTTCTCTTGAGTCTTTAGCCTGCTCTTGGGCCCTTTCCTCCTTCTGGTCTGCCTCACCCAGCCTTGATATGATATACCTTGTTTTATTGTATCTTATAATGCTATGCTCAATGGATATTCCTGGGAGGCCTGCATTCTGAAAGGAAATGAAGGAGGAGAGTATATGGCAGAGAGGGGAGATTAGGGAGAATAGAAGGAGGGGAAAATGAATTCAGGAGACTGAAGTCGGGATGTAACAAAAAAAATCTTTTTTAAAAAGAAAGCAGGCTATTAACCACATGATAAAATTTATTTCTTTTTTTCTTTTTTCTTTTTTTTTTTTGAGACAGGGTTTCTCTGTGGTTTTGGAGCCTGTCCTGGAACTAGCTCTGTAGACCAGGCTGGTCTCGAACTCACATAAAATTTATTTCTTATAGTTACTCTATGTTTCTTAAATTTTACCTAAAATTATCACTAATATATTAAAAGGCATACAACAAAATGAAGTAAGAGAGTTAATTAATATTGGAGAAGGATACCTAAAATAAATAAAAGATGTAAGTTGTATGGAATTCATATGACAGTGCACAAGAAAACCCAGGGCTACTGCAGAGGAGGTGGTAGCATTCTGAAGGATGACATTTGAGCTCAGTTTCTTCTGACTTTCTTAAGAACAAGTGTGCTCATGCATGCATGTGTGTGCACTTATAAAAGAAGAGGAGATCCCACATGGGTTCTTAAAGTAAAAGTTTATAAACGAATAATAAAACAAGACTAACTAGCTATTCAAAACAAGCAAAGGATAGACACAAATAAGATTCATGAAACTACAACACTAAATAAAGTATTAGGAGATTGATTACTTGTGTAGCATGGCAATGGCTTCTCTTGTTTTCAATTGGTCAAGTCCAAAAGTTAAAGCAAAACGTCGAGCAAGTTCTTTTATGCCACTAAATGTTGAAGATGATCTATCAAAATTATATCCATTCTCTTGTATCATCTCATTAAAAAGCTGTTTGTAAAAGAGAACGCAACGTCAGTATTTTTGATAAATATGGATTAATATATTTTAAGTATATTTTTCAATTAAAATATAAGTGATAATACCTAAAACACGGATTTTAAAAATTATGATACAAAAATGAGCATAACTGTGTCACATCACAACTCCAAACTCTTTAGGTTAATTTGGTCAAAATACCAAACACTTGGTATTAACTGGGAATAAACACATATAACAACATAAGGAAAGGAAAACTCATTGTGAGCTATTAAACAACTATACTCTGCTTTGGTGGTGATGGTGCTGAAATCCAGGGTCTCATGAATGCTAGTCACCGTACTGTTTACCTCCAAGGGGTAAATTTTCGTATCATGAACTTCCACCATAAAGTAGCAAAAGCTTTTGAACTTTGATATCCTATAACTTAGAAATTCTAAGACTTTATTCAAAAAAATATTTATGTACTATATTATGCACATATTTTGGTGTTATTTATAAAGTTATGAAGACCTCAATATCTGTCTAAAAATTATAATCCATCTATAAAATGAAGTATCATACAACTATTAAATGCCAAATAAATCTAGATACCAGGGAAAATAAAATCATTATATCAAAGAGATAAACACTACTATGCTCACTGTATAATATCATTAACAGTTACCAAAGGATTGAACTAACTTAATTGTCCACACATAAAGAAATATGTCATGTACCACATAATGCATGCAAACACACAAAAGTATTATTTAGCCTTTAAAAGGTGAAAATTTATGTCATTTGCAAAAGAGTGGATGAACCCAGAACACAATCCTTTAAGTGAAATAAGGTAGGCATAGAAAACCAAATATCATATGATCACACTTAATGGAACAAAACAAAAGTTGGAGCCAAAGATATGGAAACTAAAATAATTAATACCAGAAACTAGGACAGTGGAATAGGAATAATCAATTAGGATGATTTGGTTCCAAAGAATAACTTTACAATATAGTGGGTAAAGTTAACAATGAAATAGATATTATAGGGACAGGGATGAAGCTGAGTGGTAGAGGATCTTCCAAACATGCACAAGGCCCTGCGACCAACTCAAAAGAAACTACACACACATACTCTTTGTCCCACAAAAATACTGTATATTTAAACATTGCCATTCAGGTGCAGTGGTACAGATCTCTAACTCCAGCCCTCAGCAGGATGAGGCAAAAGGAATTTCAGATCAAGAGAGCCTGGGCTACACACTGAGACAACAGCAAGGTGTTTTAATGGGTAAAGGTCTTGTCATCACATCTAATGATCTAATTTGATACTCTCACAGTGTAGGCGAAGAGAACCAACTCTCCCAAATTGTCCTGTGGTCTGCACATGTACAATTTGGGACATTTGCGCACATGCACAAACACAGAGGAAAAGGAGGCTGGGAAGATGGCATAGTGGATAAAGTGCTTACCATGCAAACACAAGAATCAAAGTTCAAATCCTAGCTCCCATAGAAAGCCAAGTGGATGTGGAAGCCTGCCTATAATACTAGGTTAAGCAAGCTCTTGGTTCAGTGAGAGACCCCACCTCAGTAAAGGAAAACAACCAAAGACAATATTCAAGAGTCAATTTCAGGCCTCCACACTTATAACTGCATAAAGGTATATATACATGCATACATATTCATGCACACACACTTCACACAAACATATACTAAAAAGAAAAAAGATTAAAATGATCTTACTTCAAGTTATGAGGTAATGACTACACGCAACAGCCAGACTCAATCATTTCACATATGTATATAAATTTCATATACTATATTTTGTAAATATTTTGTATTGCTACTTTTAAGAATTGTCTGTCATGTCCTCTGCCCAGTTTCAATTATTACATTTTTGATGTATGACAGTTAATTATGTTAAGCTGATACTCAGTCTTACCTGCTGCAAACTGAGAATAAGGGTCTTAGCACACTGAATTTTGTCAATTTGCCTCGTTTTACTCATTGTTTCTTTGATGATATCGCCATAATCATTATAATACTAGAAAAAAATAATGCAAATTAGAATTTACTCTCTGACAATAAGACTAAGTTTATGTTAATACTATAAGCACAAAACAAATTATGCATTTATAATTCCAAAGATAGGAAATTTATAACAGTACTAAAAATTTAAGGTAATTTCTAAGACATAATCTTTAACTTAAAAAATAATTTGGAAACCCCAAACTATTTAAACAAAGAAGGCATGAAATAAAGCAGTAACTAGGTTAGATTGAGTTCCAGAGGTAACACTAAGTTTTCTTTAATGACAATAAATATAAACAGTTACTCTCATTGTTAATGAGATGCAGGCCAACTTATAGATTTGGTTTATAGAACAAATAGCCTATGAACAATATTTTTAAAAAATTACTGTGACTAATATTTCCATTACATATTACATATGTGCATTTTCTAATTTAAAAATTTAACACCTATAAAAATATCTATAACTGGGAAGAGCTCTGGGAGTCCAGCTGAAGAGAGGAGGGACTATATAAGCAAGAGGGCAGTCGATATCATGGCAGGGAAAGCCACAGACACAGCTGACTCAAGCTTATGCGGGCTCACAGACTCTAGACCAACAGCTAGGGAACTGACATGAGACCAACGTAGGCCCACTACATGTGTGTGACAGTTGTGTGGCTTGGTCTATTTGTAGTGCCCCAAGCACTGGGACTGATATAGGATTTCCCTCTGTATGCTGTGATTACCGTTAGTTAATGAATAAACAACTGCTTTGTGCCTACAGCAGAGCAGGGTGGGGTGGAGCAGACCTAGGCAGGGAGGACTGGACTGGTTGCTGGGAGAAAGAAGGGCGGAGTCAGAGAGAAGCCAAGGAGCCTCTGGGAGACTGCACTGGGAACTTTAAGCAGTAAGCCACAGCCTTGTAGCAATACACAGAAATGGGTTAAACTAAGATGTAAGAGTTAGAAAATAAAAAGTTAGAGCTAATGGGCCAAGCAGTGATTTAATTAATACAGTTTCTGTGTGATTATTTCAGGGCTGAGCAGCTGGGAATCAACAAGCGGCTTCTTCCTACAGTGGGACCTGGTGTAAGAGCTGGCTTTTTGGAACCTATTCCCTACAGTAGGATGTCTTGCTCGGCCTTGATATAGGGGAGATGAGCTTGGTCCTGCCTCAACTTGATTTGCCAGGCTTTGTTGACTCCCATAGGAGGTGTTACACTGTCTGAGAAATGGATTGAAGGGGTGTAGAAGGAAAGTTGGGGAGGAAAAATTGTAGCTAGTATGCAAAATAAAAAAATTAATGAGATCTAACAACACACCCAAATATTATATATATATATATATATATATATATATATATATATGATTTGTCAGTTCTACTTTTAATAAAGTTAAGAGGACAAATAGAGATAATAAATATTTTCCATGATGGAAAAATATTGCCCTCAATTCAGAATATCTAACCTAAACCTTTCAAATTTGTTTTAAATTTTTGATGTAAAATTCATTCATCATGACAAATGATATAACTTCAAAAACAGAAAAGTGAATTGGCTTTCACAAATTACTGCATTTTTATTTGTAAAAGCAATGGATGCAGTTGCTCAGGCCTTAAATCTCACAGTCAGGAGGCAGATACTCGTGGATTAAAAGGCAGCCCAGCCTGGTCTACACAGTGAGTTCAGGACAGAAAGAGCTACATGATAAAACCCTGATGAGAGAGAGAGAGACTGAGCCATATTCTTTTAGTATAATTAACAATATCCTTTGGAGTCCTGCTTCAAAATGAGGACACCTCACATACATTTTTGAAAGTTATGAATAAGCTCTAATTGCTAAAGGAATGTAATTTCTTATGATTCCAGTTAAGCTGGGATGGGACATTTTCTAATATTCAAAATGTAAATGATCACAAACCAAAATGTCCATTAACTGAATTAGTACAGATATGAGAAAATGTTACTCAAAATGTTAACTGTTTTAAGATAAATATTTATACTACACAAAAGCAACTCAGTATTTAAAGACCTGCAATGGTTCCACACAGTCAAGCCATTATTAAAATTTCTTTTAAGCATGATATACATTTCTATGGTATATTTCAACCTCACCTTCATATACTGCTTGAAGATATCTGCAGCTGTATTCATCTCCACCACAGTATATACAATTAGCTTACAAAATGCTGCAAGTAAATTTCTCCTCTTATGTAAAGCTTCAATTTTACTGGCTTCATCTTCTTGTTGACCATCTGGGGAGGGGGAGAGAATTCCCAAAAATCCGTCAATCTTATATTTTATTCCAATTATATTATTTAAAATATAACTTATACCGACCCTCTTATTGGGGAGTTTGAAAAGGGAAAAGAAGTATAACAAAAATTAAATTTCACAAACTACTAAAAAAAATTCCAATATAATACATTTTTTAAGACATCAAAAACTCATCATGGAAAAGGAACAGATGCAGCAAGTAAAAGGAATTGATTAGTAAAGTTTTAAGCTCATCTTACTCGTTCCCGGATTTTTCCAACAGGAAGATTTGTCAAAAAAAACCTGTACATTCAGAACCTGTTGGTTAAAGTCTCCTTCACTGAAGGCAAATTAATCTGAGAAAACCTATCATTTCCAAAAATGATCTCACCCTCCACGATACCTGATTCGTTCTTATACATTCTTATCTATTTAAACAGGCTCTCACTATACAGATATGACCGGTCTAGTACTTCCTAAATGGACCAGGAAGGCCTCAAACTCAGATCATCCTCTGATTCAAGTGCGTCTCTTAGAGGTGGAGACAAGAGAACAGATGCCAGCTAGCCTAACACTGCAAAGATGAACATGGATAGCTTGTTTCAAGGTGTGAGGACTGACAGGTATAGTATGTGTGTGTATGCTCAAATTAACACAGATACAGTAATATAGGCAAATACACACAAAGAATTTCCCTACGAACAGATTTCAAATCTGAAATTAATTATGAATAAAACTATGGTAGACAAAAAAAATCTAGAAGAACCGTACTATATCAGTTTTGGTTTGTTATTAGTTCTTTACAAAAAAAGCTTTTCAATATATTTAATAACCCATTTATATTTTGTGAACAATTATTTAGTCTATATGTAGCTACCCTTTCAAGACAAGATTCTCAATATCTGAAAAACCCTCCTGACACCCAATAGGAAATTATCTACCTCAATTATTTTGGGTGCTAATGACTTAAAGCAGAGCATAAAGAATGCTAAACCCATGTTCCATTACTAAGTTACACCTGAAAACCCTAACACCAAGTTCCAATTTAAGACAGAACATCAGCAAAATATTTATCCTCAGTATATGCTCCAATATGTCAAAGCCATTTGCCCAGCAACTTAAAAGCTACATCATTTGCTTAAAATTTTAAGATTATACTCAATGTTTTAAATTAACTTAATTGTTCCCATTATAGCAGATCATTTTTACATAATATAATTTTTAGTCATTAGTGATACTCTTAAGAACTTGAAGTATGGATTTCTTCCTACATACTAAAATTCTCCCCCCCCCATTTTTTACCAGACAGTGGTGGCACACATCTTCAATCCTAGTACTCAGCAGACAGATGCAGGAAGATCACTGTGAGTTTGAGGCCAGCCTGGTCTACAGAGTGATTTCCAAGACAGCCAGGGCTATACAGAAAAAAACCTGTCTTGGTGGGGAGTAGGGGAGAGGGAGACATGGGATGGGACGGAACAACACAACTGTTTAATATGGTATGAATTTCAAATCATATATGTAATAATTTACAACACAAGTATTATATGACAACTGTATTGCAATGTAAGTAATATGTTGGTAGTGGGCTGATTAAGCAATTGAACTATGTGACAACCTGTGGCTAAAATTACACTACAAAAAACAGTATACAATCAAACTTCACCGTTATGTTTATATACAGTAAAAGAACTTATACTCCTTTCCAAGTAAATAAGTATATTTGTTGTAACAGTCTATAATTGGGGAAATTAGAAACAATCAAAATGTCTTAACATTAAGAAATGTAAATGTATAGTGGTCAAGTCTTATGATGCTCAGTAGTTGAGACAAATAAAATGATTACATGTCAATACTAAAAACAATCTCAAAAGTATATTGTAAAACAGTCAACAACATTTATAAGGAAGTTAATAATAGAAAATTACTTAATGAAAAACTTCCAAGTAAAATCAAAATATATGATAAATGCCAAATTTATGACAGTGGTTATTTCTAGGTAAAAGGAAATAAATTTATTGGTGAAGGGACATGCATTGAGGTAAGTCTTCTTTCCAAAATATACTACCAATACAGCTAAATTTGAGAAACACAGGTGGTTGTGTACAGATGTGTAATAGTTTTTTTCCATAGGAGTAGAGTATACTTCATTAAAATAATTTAACAGAAAAAAAGCAGTCCAAGCACAGAAGACAGAAAACTTAATTCTAAGAAGTTGCTACAAAACTGAAGCTTACTTTCATTTGATTTGCAATGGTCTCAATGAAGTCAAAATAGTCATCAACAAAAGTTATAGAGCAAAACATTCCCAAGATATTTTAGAGTGCAACTATAGTTTTCATACAAATTTTAGAGACTTCATATGCATTTCATATTAACGTTGCCAATCAGCTGAACTTCCTCTACACAGTCACATGTTATACAACCTTCCATTACCTAAAAAATACATTCAACTATTTGATTTCAGATGTTTTGTACTTTAATTCCTGAGTGAAAAGACAGCCTCATTTTTTTCACTGTCCAAGACATCTAGCAACCTGTACATCATTGTTTAATGTATAGCAAGAAGTATACCTATACCACAGCTGCAAGTGAAAGGTGAGAAAGTGGAAGCATAAATGTTCGGGGGTATTCAACTTCTGACACTGTCATGCAAATACGTGCACATTTATAACTATCCTGGGATACATGCAACTAAAATATCAAAGGGTAAGACATACTTGATAAACATTACTAGAAGGATTTTTAATCACAGTTTTGGTTACACTTTGCTTCCCAGTTGTATTCTAGGTATGTTCTCATTTTGTGAGCACAAATTATTACACTGCTTAATAACGGGCCTCAAGACAAATCGAAATTTTACATTGACTTAGGAACTAAATTCTACAAAATGGAGCACACCATCTGCCAGATTTCATTCCTTAGTGTGTACCCTTTGGTTTACTTCCTATAGGTAGTGATGTTTGGTTGTATGAAGAACAAGTAGGGCATTTGCTTATACTTTCCTTGGCTTGTTGAAACATAAAAACTTTTAAAAACATTTATTATTGACATGTTTTTTTTTAAGAAATTCTGAAGCCTTCAGCACATTTCTACATTACCTTGTGATAGAGGACTTGGCAGACCCATATGGGATCAGATGTGTGTTATGTATATGGGATGATTCCTATTCCTGACTGTAACTTATAATTAAATAATAAAGTCAATTCTGTATTATCTAGTACAAATTTAGCGGTTTCAATATGTAAAACAACTCTTGTGAATCAGGAACTATGTTGAGAGGTTATTTAAAAATGGTACCTTTAGTACCATTAGAATAGCACATAATTCTGACTTTTGGACAGAATCATAAGGGTTTTGATAGGGGCTTAAATTTTCTTATTTATACCCTGCCTTTCCTGCATCAGTATAGAATGATCCAGTTATTGGTGTGTCCCATATAATGCAACAAAGGATCCAGTTACTTCTCTTTGTAAGTTGAATTCTATTGCTTTTGGTATAGTCGTTGTTAAACTCTTCCCAAAAATTACTATAAGCTCTTTCCTTGAGTTCATTATCTTCCCATAATTTGTCAATTTCATCATTATTAAAGGGTACTAATTAATATATGAATAGAAAGGTTTTATTTCCCTTTAAATGTTTCTTAAAAATAAAAAAAGCATAACTAACACACAATATACTATTTGGTTTTCCATAACTGCATATTCAAGTAAGGGACCTGGCAGTGCAATATGGAGAATAAGAAATACGAAGATAACTTTAAAAAAAGCCCGATCAGTTTAATTATTGAATTATGATTATTCTGGATTACCAAGAAAAAAGTTTCAAAGATCATTTCTAACATTCAAAACTCCCATGATCACAAAAATATGAAAGCCTACAACATATAAATATACAACAAAGCCACATAAATGTCTTATTCTCTTCAAATTATCTGAATATGGTATCATCAATTTTAATCAATTCACTCACAATTGTTAAGGAGATTCAAACTAGAAATATAAGAGTTAGCACTAGTAAGAAGCACATATCTATCTGCAACACCATATCATCTTTATAGTACACTGATGTTATAGAATGCAAACCTAATTTCATATTGAACTTCACAGTGTTAGTAAACATACACACAATGAAATAACAAGAATAACATTACCTGCACTAGGGAGAGGAGTGGGGGGAGAGGGAGAGGAGTGGGAGGAGGGGGAGGGAAATGGGAGGCTGGGAGGAGGCGAAATTTTTTTTTTCAATAAATAAATAAATAAATAAATAAAACATTACCTGCACTATTACTATCATCATCCTGTTCAATGAAGACATGATCCAAAATAAAGCTGAGCAACTCAGACTGCAATGAAGAATCAGGAGTATAAACTAATGGTTCTAACATGTCACGCCCTCCAGACATAATCTGATGACTGAAGATCATCAAAATATCACACAGAATAGTGAAGGCCTGTTTAGAAAGGGGGGAAAATGTTATACAGGTACTTAGCAAATGTTATAAATAAAAGAATATATTTAGTTTAGGAGAAAATCTAATTTTCTATATTTGAAATCATTAATGCAGTTAGTTGTTTTCTTAACATTTTAAAGCTGAATGAGCAGTGGTGGCACATGCCTTTAATCCCAGCAATCGGGCAACAGAGGCAGGTAGATCTCTATGAGATTGAGATCCTGGTGTACAGAGTGAGCTCTGCGGCAGTCAGGACTACAAATAGAGAAAACCTGCTGTAAGACAATGGTCTTGTACCCTGTTGCTTGTATTGTTTTAATAAACACTGATTGGCCAGTAGCCAGGCAAGAAGTAAAGGCAGGGCAACCAGGTAGGAAGTAGAGACTAGGCAACAAGAACAGGAGAATTCTGGGAAGAGGAAAGGCTGAGCCTTAAGTCTTCATCCAGATGCAGAGGAAGTAAGATAAGAATGCCTCGCTGATAAAAGGTACCAAGCCATGCAGCTAACAAGGACAAGAATTATGGGCTACTGTAAGTTATCAGAATAAGAAGCCTGAGCTAAAAGGCCAACCAGTTTATAATTAATGTAAGCCTCTGTGTGTTTCTTTGGGACGGAACAGATGTGGAATTGGGCAGGACAGAAACCTCTGTCAACAAAACCCTATCTCAAAAACAAAAACAATTAAAGTTGAAAAGCTTACTTCATAAATAATGACTACTAATACAAGCAACAATTTCATATGTTCTTTATTTTTAGCAACATTAATGGGGTATATATGCTGTCATATATACACATGGGCATATAAACAAGCAATATAAACTCTTATTAAATTATAATCATTTTATTATGTATAAGTTCAACTGTTTTTTAATGTACAACATATATACACATACTGATTATATAACATACTGTTAAATAAGCTGCTTAGAAAACAAAATGTGGCAATTACTAACCTGTTCCTTAACAGTAGTATTCACGTTGGTCAAGTAATGCTGACATATCTGACAAAATACCCTCATTTGCTTCTTTAAACGCAGTAAGTCCTCCTTGAAAAACAATTTATCATGAATGTTTTAAAATATTGTATTAACAACTCAGTACTTCTTTGAAATGCCTGCTTACATAAATATTATTATGGATAACTATGTCAGCTCTACTTTAAATATCAACTTAAATTTATTCTTCATGATTTATTACAAAGGAAGATGAATCATTTCTCTTGTTTGTCAAATCTCTACAAGGTGCACAAACTATCCAATTTCAATGTATAAGTACCACTCAAAGGACTTTAAGTGAGCATACTACAAAGAGAATTGCACATCTATGTTTACTGATACGCTATTCCCATGATTAAGCCATGGAACCCTAGATGCCCAAGATCAGAGGAATAGGAAAGGAAAATGTATTATATCATTTATAGGGAAATGGGAGGAAGTGGAGATCATTGTGTTAAAGGAAATAAGCCAGGCTCAAAAAGACAAATATCTAGTTTTTCTCTTATATGCAGCATCTATACGTGTTACAGATATATTGCTTTCGATTAAGTACTTGTATAATTTTATGCATATAATTTGTATAACTAAATTTATTGAATATCAAAAAAACAGTGACACAGAACAAAGGTATCTATAATGAAATTATAAACTCTATACTGAAATAATAATATATGGATATACATACATCTATGCTTAAATACAACTAACTGCAATTCTGATAGGGGATGAATAGTTCTAAAGAAAAGAAGAGTGAAGAAAAGATAATGCAAGGAAAATGAATTAGAAAAATTTATGTGCTATTTCATATACAAAATATAGATTAAATACACAATCTATAAACACTCATACATGCACACACAAACATGTACACACAAAGTCATGAAGAAAATTAGGAATATTTGGGGAAAAGAAGGGAACTAGATAGAGTGGGGAAAGAAAACAAGGTGAGATTGGGAATGAGGATATAAGAAAGTACAATTGTCCTAGTTTGCTGTGGCTGTCAACCTGACTTAATTGGGGAACTGTCCAAATCAGAATGGCATTTCGGTGAAGAACTGTCTTCACTAATAAATGAAATGGGAGGGCCTAGCCCAGCACTGTGGGTGGTGCTACCCTTTGGCAGGCTGTCCAGAGCTGTATAAAAAAAAGCTAATTGAGCAAAGAACTAGAAATTAACAAGCTAGTAAGAAGTATTCCTCTGTGGTTTCTACCTTAGCTTCCTGTCCTGATTTCCTTCAATGATGAATTATGACATGGGTGTATAAGATAAAATAAACCCCTTCCTCCTACAAGCAGCTTTTGGTTATGGTTTTAATAAAAGAAACAAAAACAAACTACAACAATGATACACATGAATGAAAATGTCACAAGGAAATTCATTATCTTGTACATTACATAAAAGAAAGGTTAACAAAAATCAAAGAATAGAAAAACTTAAAAATTAATTGGTATGTTAACAGATAATATCCTTAATGGTCTAGGGAAACTTTCATAATTAGATATGGCTAACTTTAAGAAAAACAGCAACTCAGAATGTTTAGGGCAAAAATTTATGATTTATGCACATTTATTATTTGAAAGTGGTCAATTCATGGAAAATAAATGGAATGATATCTTGTATTTCTTATTTGAAAGATAATGAGATAATTGAGAAAACTCAATTTCATAATGTTAACAAACTTCAAAATGTCCCCTAAACAAACACATAATAAAAAAGTAAATGGAAGAAAACTGAAGATAGAAAAATTCCTTCTTCGGAAATATTTATGTACAGCCTAATTCATCCCTCCCAGAAACTTAATAATTAGAAAAATGATCTTAATTGATATTATTATCCTCAATTGTTAACTTGATCTTGGGGGCTAGAGTGATGGCAAAGTAGCTAAAAGCACTTGTTGCTCTTGTAGAGGACCATGAATCTATTCCCACAGTTTCTCACAACCATTTATAACGGCAGTTCCAGGGGATCCAACAGAGAAGCAAGTGATGTGTATACATGCACACAGGCAACACATTGATGCACATAACTAAAAAAATAAAAAACCTTAAAAAATATGAGTTTGAGAAACCTTGAAGACTACCAATAAAGTGATCTCAGGACATAATTAGAGAACAAGATAGTATAAAGAAAGTTGGTTCATTATCTTCAGTGAATATAATCCAATCACTTTGTACAATTAATTTAAAGGTTCTTGGTGGAAGGCACTCAATCACATTTTGCAAAATGTATCTGCCTAGGACTGGTGTGATGAAAGAGCAGTAAAGGGCAGCTGTTCTTCCAGAGGTCCTGGTTCAGTTCTTAGCACCCACATAGAAACTTAAAACAATCTGTAACTTTAGTTCTGTGGGATCTGATACCCGCTTGTGGTGTACAGACATACATATAGACAAAACATCCACATACAGAAGTAAATAAACTATTTTGCTATATCTGGTAAGCAATTTTGAGAATGTGAAAAGTCAAGTTATATCATCATTATATGTGAATTATTTTTAATTAAAAATAATACCTTGATATGTTCTTTCATTGTATATACAAACTAGAAATGACTACATATAAGTCAGAAATAAGTATGACTTCACTGAATTAATTTGCTCTTACTAAAAGTACAAATCTGCTGAAAATAGTGACTAATATTTAGTAAGACTACCACATACCTTTGTAGAACTGCTTTCAGTTATCTTAGCAAGCTGCCAAAGAATTACATAGTGAGTACACTGCAGCGCATGAATAACAATCTATAATACAGAAATAGAAGATTAGAGGTCAAATTTACCTCACTAACTTTCACTTGTCAAAGTTCAGTATGTAACATATAAACAAACAAACAAACAAATAAATAAAAACAAACCTGCTCAGCTCAGGCATATCTCCATTTTCAATTCCGGTTTTTAAGAGTTTGTAATTACAAGCAAACAAATCCCACTTTGAAAGATCATGGGCACTGTTGAAAACAAAACAAAAAACAAATTAAGCTATATTTAAAGAGAAACTAAGATTGACCATAATTGTTTCAGAATATTATAACATGCCCCTATCAAGTGATTTCTTCTACAAAGAAAAAAAAAACCCAAAGAATTCGAAAACATAATAATCCATAAATTATGCAAAATTATTTGCTATGATTTAAAAAAAAATCAGAAACTCAAAGATATAATTTACTTATGAAAAGCAGTGATCCTCTTCAACGTTGATAATACCTGATATGCGTCATCTTCATCAGGTTCTTCTCCCTATGAATATTAACCATACGTTAAGAAAGACCAAAATAATAAGCCCAGTGGTAGTGGCTCACACATTTAATCCACCACTCAGGAGGCAGAGGCAGGTGGATCTCTGAGTTCCAGGCCAGCCTGATCTACAGAGTGAGTTCCAGGACAGCCAGTGCTACACAGAGAAACCTTATCTCAATAAACCAGAAAAGGTGGGGGTAAGAGGGGGAGAGAAGGAGGGAGAGATTGAGGGAGTTGAGGTAGGGAGGAAAGGGAAGAGAGGAAAGGGAGGGAGGGAGGGAGGGAGGGAGGGAGGCAGAGAGAGAGAGAGCAATGAAAAGAAAAAAGGAAGACAGAGGGACTGATTAACCAACCTACTGAAATAAGCTGGGCACGGTGGTACCTTTAATTCCAGAACTGAGAAGCAGGCAGATCACTTAGTTCCAGATCAGTCTGGTCTATATTGTGAGACTATTTCAAACACATGCACCCAAACATGCATATACACACAATCAATTTTGGTACAGATCATGGAAAGAACTACCAAGTAATAAAATCCTAGGCTATTATAATGGTGATATAACCTTAGAAAAAAGAAGACCAAATAAAACCTACAAATAAGCTTCATCATTCAAGTCCTCTATCTGACAAATTTAATACAATATGACTGAGTCAACCTAAGACTGTAAACAGAAGTACGTAATGAAAAACAGAGAAAAAGAGAATATGGTTCTCCCTTTTCCCATTACATAATACAAACACAAAACTATTTTAAAATTTTCCAGTTTTCCAGTACTAGATGCACCACCAATAAAGAAGCACATTAGATGACAAACAAGAAATCATACAGCACCTAAAAGCAAAAGCTAGGTAAATGAAAAACATAGTATTCAAAAGAAAAAAATAACAAAGAAATCACATATAAATAAGAGAAATTCTATGAAATATACTAGTCCTGATCGCTCACATTTTGGAGAATTTGTATGAACCCTATCATTTATGGTACTGACATCAAAGTTCCTCAAAATTAAACCATTTTATAGTTTAATTTTTTTAAGGTAACAGAATTTAGAACAAACAAACTACTGTCGATTTTACACTAACTTAACTATAGTCTATTCAGTCAAGAGCAGAACAACTAAAATCTTTACAAGTGGTAATTGCATATGAACATATATATATATATAATCCTCAAATTGTAAACCTTAAAACCTAGAATGTTATACATAAAATGCTAAATACTTTTATAAAACAGGAAATTACACCTTAATGATTGGCCATTAATAAAACCGGTGGAATGCAAAGAGTCTTTGAATAAAGTTCTGGATGGCCTCATATACACTATGAAATTTGAACAGGTCTCAAACTAAAAATAACCCTTCTGTCTCAGGTTCTAGAGTGCTAGATTATAATTGTTAGCTACTCCATCCACCATTGTTGCTGAATATAAAAATGTTCACAATTTCTAAGTTCTGTGAACAGTATCAAGAGTGAATGTCTTCTGGGCATACCTTTAATCTTAGCACTCCAGAGGCAAAGGCAAGCAGGTATCTGTGAGTTGGAAGCAAGCTTCTACATAGCGAGAGAATGTATCAATAAAAAAAGCTAAAGAAAGCTGGGTGTATTGGCATACACCTTTAACACAGCACTTGAGAGGCAGAGGCAGGCGATCTTTGTGAGTTCAAGGCCAGCCTGGTCTACAGAGCTAGTTCCAGGATAGTCAAGGCTACAGAAAGAAACATTGTCTTGAAAAACAAAATAAACAAAAAAGGCTAAAGAAGATAATTTGAAAATTATGACTCGATTCAAATAAATTAAAACACCTATGTATATATATCTAGAAAAAACACACAAAAATATATGTCTATTTGAGTACCAATGCAATAATCCTCTTTGAAAGGACAACATAAGAAACTACAAACCTACAGTGACTATAGTAGCAACTTAAAAAGGGGCTATGAAGACTACAATGGCTTTGCCCTCAGTCGAATTCTATTATCTATACATTAATAGCCACTGTTTCAACTAAAATCAGGTTTTCTTTAGAACAAAAGGCAAAAAAAATTCTAGTTTTGTCTTCATCATTGCAAAGTTGCATATCTTTGCCATATTCATATTTTAGTGGAAGAATAATAGCAGTTTGATGATTCACATAACTAAAAAGACTCACCAACACACCACTAGATTATCATCAGGACTAATACTGAGTGACTCAGTTACTGGAAGGGAAGGGTCCAAAATACTTATAATATATACCTCTTGCAGAAAATCTTCAAGAAGCCGGTTAAATTTATCTGCCAATTCATCTATCAGCTGACTTCTTGAAATATCTACTCTGTTGAAGATTGTGAACTCTTCATTACATAATGCATGGTAAGTTTTAGAGCATGCTTCTAAAACATCAGTATCTGTGTGCTTCTCTACAATATTTCGGATCTGGCGCAATAAGGCATCCAAATGCTGCAAAATAAGATTTATTTCATTACAAACTAATAAGGTACAGAGAGAAGGATATAGCTTAGTGGTAGAAGGTATGCCCATTTTGTGCGAGCCCTATTAAGGAATATACAGTAGGCATAGTGTGACTATACCATACCACCAACTGTAGCAGTTTTCAAATATACTAAATGTGAAGTATAAGACATGTATTTTCAGACACTTTTATAGTTTGGGAAACAAATGAACTAATTGGCCCATATTTATTTCTGCAACTTTAATAGAAAAAAATAAAAAAAATTTAATAGAAAAAAATGTCTCAGACATTTGATAAGACTGTTAACAATTGTGAAGAACTTTCAATGGTTATAGGAACATACAAAAAGTATTACATAAATACTAGATAAATTTGCTTTGCAATTGTTACTATCTAATAACTCAGGACAAATATCCATAAATGATCAGTGAAATAGTCATACAATGTATGAGAGAATGAAAGTATAGTTATTGGTATAAAGCAAAATAGTTGTCCATTTATACCATTCTCTAAATCAAATTGGTCTAAAATATAGAAAGACCTAGTAGAAACAGGTTCACTCAAAATTCTACAAAAACATATTTATAATATAAGAAAGCTGTATAATCGTGTAGATTAAAACGGCATTTTCTCCTCTAATATTTTATACACAGAAAACATCTTACCTTTTCTAACCGTCCAGTGGTATAAATCTCTAAATCAAAGTACTGAGGTAACTGCAGCAAATTGGTCACCTTTTCTGCATCAACAGAGTACTTTTGGGGGAAAAAGAGATAATGTTAAAAACATTATAATAACACTAAGTAAGAATGTGCTGTGCCATTTTGAAAGAATATGTGATTTAGGAGTGACATTAAGTAATCAATGTAATCTTACTTTTGCTAATAACTGTGGGAGGGCCACAGCAAAAAGTTCCGTGATTTTTGTTCTGTCATCCAACTGTGTCTTCTTCTCCTTTGCTGTTAGCACCTAAACAACACAAAGATGTTCTATAAACATTTACAAAGCTCAATAACTTTTAAATCCTCAATTTTTAATTAAAACAAATAAAATAATAATATTTTAAATGATGGATACAAAAATTCTGAGGCAGAATCTTGCATTACTATAGCTCACACTGACCTCAGTTCATTTTTTTAAGTCTTTCAAGTGGTGGAATTATCAATTAGTGTCAACATGCCTAGTCAAAAATTCCCTAATATAAAACATCAGCCTTAAAAGTAATACTTAATCATAATTAAAGGGGGGTAACATTGGGTGCAATGGTACACAGAACTCAGTAGGCTGAGGTAGGAGGAAATAATAAGTTCAAGACCATTTTTGGCTAACTAGTGAATACCTAGCCAGCTAGCCAGGGCTTCATACAAGACACTGTAGCCAAAAAAGTAAATAAATTTAGTGGAAAGCCATGTAAAAAAAGTAATTACAACCACAAAAAAATCAAATACTCCTAGAATAAAGACAAAAATTCAATTAGAAAAAAAAATTGGTGGAATTAGAGTAAACAGCACATTCCAAAATCCCTCATAAATCTGGAAAACTTTAAACCTGTAATTTTTAAAAACAGGTGACAATTATAGAATGGCAAGGGAGGATATATGTGAACAGGAAACTTATGAGAGACTAGGTAAAATACAGAATTAATGAACACTACATTCATAAAAAGTATTATAGGAGAGAGATCTGAACATGAATAGAAGAAAATGGCAAAATCCACTCCTGTAAACCACTAGATCCAATAAACGAGAGAAAAGAAAGCTCCAGTAGCAAGGAGGGAACAAAACCCATAAATTTTTAGATGAAAAAAAAAACAAGTTGCTTAAGGCTGCAGAAATTATCAAGTACATTATCTTCTACAATGTACCTATAAAACTGGAAAGTGAAGTAGCAGGTCCCAAATCTCTGTAATCTATTTATTTGGCTAGAGAGCAGAAAATACTGAACAACTATGTCTCCAAAGTTCAAAGTCACCCCACACTCCAACAGAAAAGACTGGAACCAAAAAGCAGGTAAACACTCCACAGAAACTGATTTTAACTGAAACCCATTGCAAAATGCAAACAGAACACAAGTCTGTAGACAATGGTGGCTCAAGTCTTGATAAGAAGAAATTTCCAACTGCAATGGTAACCTCATAATATGAAAGAAAACGGGAGGCTCAGACTATGAGGTGACACCCTCCTTGGTAAAGGTTGAGTCCAGGGTAGAAGTTCAAACCTTATGGGCAATCTGTTTAAAACCCACTGAAATATATCCAAATGGATCTATCACATTGAGCAGGTTTCAGCTGGACAACACACACAGGCTTATTACTCTCACACTGGCAGGGTTAAGTGCATAATACATCTTACTCTTCCATAGACTTAATCATAATTTTCTTATAATTTTAATGATCTTTAACATTCATGTATCCAAACAACTTCACTACTCCCTTCTTCTGGTTACTTGTCCCAACTCCAGTATATTTTTGTTTCCATTAAACTAATTCCTGGTCTTACAAAGCTTATTTTCTTACATTCCTGTCCTCAGTAACTAATACCCAACTGCACGCTATTCTATCATCCTTTTTGTATTCTACAAAAGTTATTGAGTTTAAAAGAGCAATTGCTTTCAATATTACTTTATGTTCCCACCAGGCCTGCTGTCACTAGACTGAGTGGCTATTGTGGTTAGTGTTCTCTTGGAGTGGTGCTTCAGATCATGCATGCCCTGTGTCCTGAGCACGTGGGCCGAATGGTACAATCTAATCCTACCAGATGATTTTTTTTTGGGTTTATCAAGACAGGGTTTCTCCTGTCCTGGCACTAGTTCTTATAGACCAGGTTAACCTCGAACTCACAGAGATCTGCCTGTCTCTGCCTCCCAAGTGCTGAGATTAAAAGTGCACGCCACCACCGCCCAGCCATCCTACTAGAAGATTTTTTAAAATGTAAACTGAAAGTATAAAGATGATCTCACCAACAACCTAATTCAAATATATAAACCCTAATGCAGAAACACAGTATCCATGAAAATCCAGGGAACATGACTCCCTGAAGTCACTGATCCTACAGCAGTATTGAGGAAGGGCTCATAAAGCCCACTTCCTCCCAGGGGAACTACTCAGGGTAAAGAGTTGCTAAAGAAGGCGGAGTAATATAACCAGTCACTTAGGCAAATAACCTTTTATTCATATTGATACAGGAAACCCTAATGAATAAAATGATCGACAAAAAATTAGTATAAAAGACATGAAAGAGAGGGAGAATTTATTGAAAAGAAGAGGGATCGTTGAAAAGAAGTTCACCAAAAAAGGACTTGATATGAATATATGTGCATGAAATAAAGAATAAATTTTTAGAAGATAACATTTAACTGCATTTAAATGATCAATCAGAATAACTGTTCACAATATAATACAATGACAAATATTTATGAGTTCAAGTAAAATGGCAGAAATTGTACACTCACTAATTTAAAAAATAGATAATGATGTATTTCAAGAATTCTAAGATGTAATGGTGAAAAAAAGGAGATTCAAAATGTGTAACTAGGACAATGGTGTGCAGAAAGCATGTAAAAAACTCAATAGAAGGAAATAAATCCAATGTGAAAATGATTGGCTTTTTGACATGATCTGTGCTTTTATATGGTATTGTTCCTTAATGTATATGAATTACTATTCTAATAAATTAGGGCATGCTTAATCCTAGCATTGGGAATCAGAGGCAAGACAATCCCATTGTGTTAGAGGATGCCCCAGTCTACAAACCAAGTTCCAGAAAAAGCAGGGCTACACAGTGAGATTCTGTCTCAAGAAAGGAAGGGATGGAGGGAATTGAAAAAGACACAAGATGGAAAGACTTCCAATGCTCATGAATAGCCAGAATTAACATTGTGAAAATGGCTTTATTAGCCAAAGTAATCTACAAATTCAATTTAATTTCCAAAGATTAGAATGACAATCTTCACAGAAAGTAAAGAAAACAAACTTAAAATTCATATGAAAGCAAAAATGACATCTAATAGCCAAAGCAATCCTAAGCAAAGAGAACAATTCCAGAATTATCGATATACTATAGAGGCATAGTTACAAAGACAGCACAGTATTAGAACAAAACAGAAAATGGTGTGGAACTGAGTACTCGAGAGAAAACACACACTTATAACACAAAAACACACCTATTATCAACTGTTTTTTTTTTTTAATAAAGATGCCTAGAAAAGAAACAGCATCTTCAATAAATGGCACCAAGAGAAGCAGATATCCACATGTAAATGAATGAAGCTAAATCTGTATCTCTCAGTACAAAAACTAATTCAAAATGGATCAAAACCATTAATTTCAGATCTCAAAGCTTGCTGTGATGGAGGAAGGTCATTGGTTAATTAATAAAGAAACTGCTTGGCCTGATAGGTTAGAACATAGGTAGGTGAAGTTAACAGAACAGAATGCTGGGAGGAAGAGGAAGTGAGCTCAGACGCCATGCCTCTCCTCTCCAGGAGAGACGTGATGAAGCAAGCTGCCAGGTCAGGCATGCTGAATCTTTCCCGGTAAGACTGGTGCTACACAGATTACTAAATATGGGTTAGGCAAGATGTGAGAATTAGCCATTAAGAGGCTAGAACTAATGGGCCAAGCAGTGTTTAAAAGAATACAGTTTCCATGTAATTATTTCAGGGCATAAGCTAGCCAGGCAGTCGGGAGCTGGGTGGCAGGAACGCAGCCCACAGTTCCCTTCTATACTGCTGCTATTAAAGGAAAAGAAGAGAAAAGATCTCAAGGTATGGCGAGGACTTTCTGAACAGGACTCCAATGGCTAAATATATAAATTCAAGAATTAGCAAATTGTATAAAATTAAAAACTTCAATGCAAAGGGAACAACCGAGAGAAGTGACAACCTAAGAATGGGAGAAAAGATTTACTAGCTACAAATTTACCAGAAGACTAATATCTAAAAACATAACTCATTCAAGAGATTATGTTAAAAGTATGAGCAATGAACAGGCTAACTTTCAGAACAGACAGTTCTCAAATTATGAAATACAAATAGCCAATAAATATGAAAAAATGTTTAGGACCCTTGGCCATCAAAGAAAGACAAATTAAAACAAGATAGAGAATCTATCTCACCCTAGTCAAAACAGCTATCACTATAAAAAAAAACAATTAGCAACAACATCTGGGGGAAGTAATGGGAATAATCAAAGTTGAAGTAGATCAAGGGATATGCCAAAGCATTTGCTAGAGTTGTATAAAAACACATTTATAAAAACTTTTATAATTAATTTATCATTTAAAACTTAATTTAATTATTCAATACAATTATTCAAATCTACTTATAGATAGATAGTTAGGAACATGAAACATGACTTTTGGAACTTAGGCAATAGTGATATCAAACACTATTTTCACTTACTCCAGGTTGTTAGTCATGAAACACAGGTAACCAGTTCAGAATTCTAATTGGCTATTCATAATTAGAAAAACAGAAATAAAACATAAAACTAAGATTAAAACACATAGAACCTGGAAACAACCTAAATGCCCCTCGACTGAAGAATGGATAAAAAAAATGTGGAACATTTACACACTGGAGTACACTACACAGAAGGAAAAAAAATGACATCTTGAAACTTGCAGGCAAATGGATGGATCTAGAAAACATCATATTAAGTGAAGTAACCCAGACCCATGCAAAATGTCCTGGATTATTTCCACCACACTGCAAAAAAAGATGATTAAATAATTAAAGAAAACAGTAATAGAACAAAATAGACTGCATTATACCCTGGTTCAGTATTATTTCATGGAATATTAAAACATGTAGATATACATATATTTGCGTGTCATAATATAAAAATGCATTTTGGTGGTTTACAATAAAACATTTGAAATTTAATAGATTTTCAGACATTTGTGAACTTCTAAACAAAGGATTAAAATCTGATCCCTGGAAATAGGAATTAGTTCACCATCATGATTAATAACCTCTGCTTTATTACTAATTTCATATTAGAATAAAATATGAATCTATAAATATACTAAAATATACAAATACAGTACTCTACATATACACACTTCATTTGGTCTTGAAGACAATGTCATTCACTGTCATCTCACCTATCAACATTTAAAAAAGATCAAATTTCTCCAATTGCTACTACTTTAGAATTTACTTATAACATATATGTATACACAGATATGTGCACACATGTATACATGCAAAAGTAATTAGAAAAGTAAAACCGAGCTTCAAACATTTTTGTTCTGTGGTAAAAATGGCCATTAAAAAAAAGCTACCAAATATAGAGAAAAGAAGTTTAGAATAACAAAAACATATTGGCATACCCTTTTTCCTGTCCCTCTTCCCACAGGAGGATGACATTCAGCTGCTTGTCTAATAGTACAAAGCATTATTTCAATCAAAGCACTCTCTTGTCTGTTAGAGCTATAAAAAAAATCAGAAAGAGTTAACCTATTTCTTTTCCATATATGCCTCTTGTAACTCTTATATAAGTTTCTTCTGCCTATGAACAGGAACTGACCTAATGTACTAAAGAAAATCCCATTATTATCACAGAAAAGGGTTAGAAAAAGTTAAAATCTTACCTTCCTAAACTTCAGAATTCTAAGTAAATTCACTGTTTATGTACATAGGTAAAAGAAAGTATGAATCCAACCATCACACACAAATTTTAATATATATTTTCTAAGTATATATTGAGAAATTGTTTCAAAATATAGCCCACGTTAGCATAGAATTTCTTATGTAGTCCAGGCAGGAATAGAATTCATGATCCTCCTGCCTCATTCCTCCAAGCATGTGTCACCATACCTGGCTAAATGTACTAAATTTTGATAGCAATTACATCTTTGATTCCCAGTACAGATAAAAACAATTACACAAAGTTATAACACTAACAAAAACTAACAGAATTTCCAAAACAGTATTGACAAACAATAACATAATTATCCTTACCTTCCTCTCCACTAAGTGGATCTTCTAGCAACAAACTATTCATACATTCCCAGTCTTTCAGTAGCTCAGTAGCACAGTCCCACATGCTATCCACAAGGTATGCTGCATGCTCATGTAACTAAAATTTAAAAACAACATGCCCTTAGACAAATAGCATACCAGACTTAGGACAAAAGATGCTTTGTTAATAAATACCATGTCAAAATTCTTAAAAAGCAATCTAGTTCTTAGATCAAATGAACTTAAGAATATACAACTACTGTAGTTTGCTGTATTCTGATGTGGGAGTGTCATATATCAATCTGTTGATTTCATTGGTTAAGCAATAAAGAAACTGCTTGGCCCTCATAGGTTAAAACATAGGTGGGAGGGGAAAACAGAACAGAATGCTGGGAGAAAGAAGCTGAGTCAAGGAGTCGCCATGATTCTCCCACTCCAGGCAGATGCAGGTTAAGATCATTCCTGGTAAACCAGCTCGTGGGCTACACAGGTTATAAGAAATGGGCTAGTCCAGGTGCGAGAGTTAGCCGAGAAGAGGCTAGATAGAAATGGGCCAAGCAGTGTTTAAAAGAATACAGTTTCCGTGTAATTATTTCGGGGCATAAGCTAAGCTAGCCATGTAGGCGGCCGGGGTGCTGGGGACGCAGCCCGCTGCTCTTATTACAACAGTATTCCATAACACCTGTTAATCATTAGTACCTCTTAACTTATTAACATAAACATTGTTTTACAAAAAGATTAAACACGTACTTCTTGCTTATTTGGTAATAACATATATATTTATTACTTATTTGGATCTAATATTACATCAGTTAACTTTTCTTAATTCTTAGTTATACTATGATTTTTATTTTAACCGAGTGGGTGTAATAATGGTTAATTAAAACAATAAAATACATTTTGCTTCTTGATTCAATTTATACAGTTATCATTCTCTTCATTCTGAAAGTAAAAGAATATAGCTTTCCAGCTTATTTTAAAGGTTGAAGTTAATCAATGAAAGACATTATTTATTTTTCAAACTTTAAAGACAAATATCTTTCTAAGGAAATATCCTCAATAATTAGGAAACTGGATTTAGTAATATACAGAAAGCATCATGGGATAATCAGATCTGATTGATACTATAAAAAACATAATTCTACACATTTATAAAAAGACTAAATCAAACAAACATGAACCCTAAATAAATCTGAATTTTGAACCCTTATAAAACATTAAACAAACAAATGCTAACTTAGTGAAGACTAATGTAAATCTGTTTATACATTAATATTAATACAAGACATGAAGCTGGGCGTTGAGGCTTACACTCAGCAGGCTAAGGGACTGCTGGGTGGTGGTGGTGCATGCCTTTATAATAACATCATTCGGAGGCAGAAGTAGGCAATTTCTGTGAGTTGGGAAACAGCACGAATCCCAGGACAGCGAGGGATACACAAAGAAATGCTGTCTCGAAAAAAAAAAAAAATCCTAGTTGAGGCAAAGGAATATGGATTTGAATAAGATCATGGTTTGTCTGAGCTAGTGAGATCCTGTCTCAAACAACAATAACAAACAAGAACATTTGAAAACGTAGAATGTTCTAAGTCTTTCTTTTACAGGAATTATCTCAGCATTAATTTAAAAAAATTTACATAGGACTGAGTAACTTGGAGCTCTCTAGAGATGGCTCAGGGGTTAAGAGCACTGACTGCTGTTCCTGAGGTAATGGATTCAATTACCAGTACCCACATGGCAGTTCACAACTGTCTATAATCCCAATTCCAGGGGACTTGACACGCAAGGCAAAACACTAACGCACATAACATAAAAATGTATTTTTAAAAAAAGACTGAGTAACATAACCAAGATTACACTATCAGTAATGAGAGGAATACAGTTGTAATAATTTCCAAAATATGTCTTAATTGTTGAATATCTATCTTATTAAATTAGAAAGCACTTTAAAAAATTGAAACAGATCTCTGCTGCATTCAGTATTTGGTTATCTGAAAGATTTTAGATATACATCATTTTAATACCTTTCAAAAGTTTGAAATTAAGTATAAAATAAACAATAGCAACTAACCTCACTTTCCAAGAAGAAAAAAACCAAAGTCTTAACAAGGTTGGCATTTGGACCTTGTCTTCCCCTTCTTTTCATTATTCCATCTTCTTCTGGATCTCTACGGCTGAAGAGCCTATAGGCAAAGAGAAATACTTATTAGAAAACTATTTACTAATCACAGAAATTAACTTCATATTCCATACTTAAGCACCTAACAAGAAAATAATGTAAACCTGGGTAAGGAAGTATTAAAGTATCAAGCAAATGATTAAAAAAAACTTTTCATTTCAGTTCTGATAGTCCTAAGTCCTTTGACTTCTCAAATTAGTCATAATAAATTACAAATTCTTTTTGGAAGCCATACATTATTTTATACAATTTCTTCCTTTCATGAAAGTAATACAATTACTGACCTAAAATATTTATACACCATATGATATTTTCACTAAAATGGAACATATCATTCCCTTTTCTTTCGGGAACATTATCTTAACACAATGACCATAACAGATAGTGTGGCTCTTTTTCTTTAGAAACAACAAGGGAGAACTAATGTTAGATAACAATTAAGATAAAACTAGTGTGCTTATTTCATACCAAGTAAATAGCCTATGAGTTACTATCCCCCAAATAAATGTAATAAAATCTTAACAAAAATATTAGCCTAGTTTGATTAAACATGTTCTCTTTCAAAGTCACTATAAAATATTTGCTTAATGGTTTCTGTGATCATATATCCAGAGATTCATCTGAAATCTTAAATAATACCATAAAAGTAAGAGAGTAATAGGAACATTTACTTTTTGTAGAGAAATTCTCCAGGTGCTACTGCTACTGGCCGATGAGCTGAATAAACCAGATGATAGACGTTTTCACAATCTTCTGCAGTAAGGACTTCTTCACTACTCCTAATAATAAAAAAACAATAATAGAGATTTTAGTAATATCATGACTCTATCAAAATTTTATTAACTTAATTTCACAAAACTGTCAAGATAAACAATTAAGACTAAATATAGGCTAGGTATATTGGCCTTTGTTTGTTATCCCAGCACTTGAGAAGGACAGGCAGGAAGATGACTCCTCAGCTACACAGGAAGTTCAAGGTCTGCCTGTGTTACCTGAAAAGAGGTAGGGAAGGAGGGAGGGAGGAAAGAAAATGGCAAGCACACAAAGCAAAATAAGAGTCAATACAGGAAATGAAAACTTTAAATGGTTAAGAGAATAGTGTACACAAACTCTCTCCTCTATACATAAACCTGTGTATCATAGTAAATGTGTGGTCATCAGAGAACAACTTATGAAAGTCAGTTTTCTGTATTTAAACAAGGTCTCTCTTGTTCCTTCTGTTTCACTACATATTCAAGGCTAGCTGGCCTGTAAGCTTCTGGCTGATTTTCCTGTTTCTGCTTCCCATCTGACCATAGAAGTAGATACATACCGCACACATGCAGTTTGTATGTAGATCCTGGACAATGTACTTGGGTTGTCAGACTTATGCTTTTACCCATGGTACAAATTCCTAACCCATGATTTACAAAGATTTTGATTGACTTTTTTTCTTTAAATAGAATTTAAATGAATATTATATCTTGGTAAGATTTTTGTAACTATATCTAAAACTACATTCTTTATAATTAGTGTGGTATACATTTCAAATAAATTGGGGTAATAAGCATCACCATTTTGATACTATTATAGTCAATGAGATAATCTAAATTAAATACTAATGATGGCTACTTTTGATATGTTAATTCAATATTTTTCTATTAATACTTAAACTTTACCACAAAGAATATATATTACAGAATGTAGGCATTTCAAATTTTGATAGATTTTGCAAAGATATTCTTTGAGGAATTTATACCTGTCCTAGTTTGCTCTTGAAACAATAATTACTGCAGACCATTTGTTCTCTTACAACACTGTATATGAACTAATTTCTACATATGATAGGCATCACAATTTTTAAAATCTTCCCCAGTGATATTTTTAAAAAGTGGGGAGGTTGGGCATTGTTGTACACACCTTTAATCACAGCAGCACTGGGGAGGCAGAGGCAGGTGGGTCTCAGTGAGTTCAAAACAACTCTGGCCTACAGAGCTAGTTCTAGGACAGTCAGGGATAAACAGAAAAACCCTTTCTTGAAAAATCAAAAGTGGAGAATGGGGAGGTGGGACACACCCACACTTTGAAGGTAGAGGTAGGTATATCTCTATGAGTTCGAAGCCAACCTGGTCTATAGACCAAGTTCCAGGACATCTGGATCTATAAATGTGCTATCTCTGCAAAAGGCTAAATATATTTTCATATGGATAATTTTTTTCTTGACAAATTTCCTATTAAATTTCTATACCTTTGGTTCATACATGGAAATTAATTACCAGGATGTAAATATCTAATGTTCTAATCTAACATTTGCATTCTTGGTTCCTTACAAAAATATTCTTAGTTTTTTTAATAAGCTGAATGACTAAGCTGTTTGGGGAACTGAAGTAAGTACATAACATACTAGGCAAGCATATACTATGGAGCAACAATCTCAGCCTCTTTCTACTCAGAGTTGGCAGACAGTTGCTCCACCCTGTCTTATTCAACATCCCAAGAGCTGGAATTACAGGTTTGCATTTCCACACCAAGCTTACTAGGTTCCCCCATCCCTTGATATAGCACACTTGACATAAAAAAAAACCCACAAAACAAAACCCATTTACTGACTATTTTTTAATCAAGGAACCCCTCATCCTACAATAGAATCCTGAAACATAGTCTATATTTTTATTTTGTTTATTCAAGGGACAACATTAGAATTTTTAAGTTACTATAGCATTATAAGACAATTCTGTTCAGCTACTCCCTATTTATTAGATAGAATTCTGCTTACAGCCCCGACACACAGACCTAAGAATGGAGCTCGCAATCTTGCATATACTGAGTAAATGCTCAAGCTCCTCCATTGGACTCAACCCAGCACCAATATCTACTCTTAATAAATTTTCAAAAATTGATTATACTGATTTTCTTATTAAGAAATGTTTGCCATTCTTATTAAGATAATTTAAACTAGAAATATTTAAGGAGATTATAGTTCTTTAAGTATTGTTTTGTTTAAAAGGCTTTCCAGCCCGAATTTTTATGTCCCTTATTGAAATTGACTAATTTTTTTTTCTGAGATAGGTCAATCTCCTGATGTTGCCCAAGCTGGCTTTCAAATCAGGTTAAAGAAATACTTCCTACTTCAGCCTAGGAGATATCTGCAACTAGTGGTGCACACAATTTATTTTAGATGTATGCTATCTGTTTGTATAATGAGTTTCGTATTCATTTCCAGGTATTTATTTATAAAATGTTTCTGCTATTATCAAGTGAGCACACTGATTTTAAGCATACCAACATACTATACAAGTACTTGCTAAAATACAGGACATGACAAATATTCCAGAAAGCAAAGGACAATCACTGGTGAAGATATGGCGGAATTGAAGCTGATGAGAGTGTAACATAACCACTGCATAAACACTATGATGCTTCAGCAGAAAATTAAACAATGAACTGAAAATGTAGCCTATTCACTTCCCAGCAACCGCATCCCTACAAAGTCCCAGAGAATTACTATACCATTTAGCAATTTCCTTTCTCGGTACATGCAAAAGGACTAAAAGCAAGTTCCCAGACAGTTAAACAACTATGTTCATAGATACTTACCTGAACAGTCCATAAATTGGAAACAGCTCATGGTTCCACCAACACATGAATGGAAAAATGCAACATGCTATATGCATAAATAAAATACTATTCAACAACAACAGGAGAAGCAATTCCTGATACATGTTTTTGTGTGACATGATAAAAGGACAAATATTATGAGTCTACTTCCATGAATGTCAATGAGAGGAAAATTCATTTGAGTGGAGAACAGAAGAGTAGTTGTGAGTATATGGCAGGAGAAGAATGAGCAATTATGTATTTAGTTCCAATATAAAATGATAAAAAAGTCTACAAACAGACACAAGTAACAGCTGCCGAACAATATAATACCTACTGTCACTGATCTTTATGCTTAAAATAGTCAAAATGACTTCTATGTTCTATATATTTTACTGCAATTGTTTTTAAAAAATAGAAGAGTTCTTTCTTCCTGTTTTCTGAACTTTACATGAAGAAACTAAATTTCTAGTTGGGGCAGGATTAGAGTAGTTCACATCTGTAGTCTCGGCTAGTTAGTTGGGAGTGTAAAACAGAAGACACATTTGACCCCAGGAGTCTAAGACCACTCAAGCAACATAAGGCCTCTCCCTCTGGTTGGTTGGTTAGCTAAAAATATTATTATTTAAGCTATTAAAATTTAGGCCTAAATGTATGTGAACCAAGTATATACTAATGTATTATCTAAATATCTATACATTAGTAACATACAATAAATATATACTTACTGTAAAACAAGAGTGAGTAACTTTATTGCTTGTACAGCAACATCATATTCTTTGTCAAGAGTCATAGACACAATTCTATCCTAAGAACAAAAAAATTAAAGTATTTTTATAGGAAAAGAAAAGTATTTCAAACTACAAATATTTTTAAATACTTTAAAGACTACTAACCTTGAAACGACTCGTAAATAGTTCCAGTTTGGAATTGAGTTCTTTGTTATAATAAAGTCCTTGTAGAGCAGTAAGACATTTGAGTCTTACTTCACCTTGCTAGAAGAAAGAGGAAACAATATATTCAAACTATATACTTCCAAGTTCAAAACTGCAGGATATATTTTCTAGTTTAAAATTCAAGCAGCATTTATTGAGAAATATTTGCTAATGAAAAATATAAATCAGTACAAAAGAGTAAGCAGTGACAAAACTGATATTTCTATAGGTCAGTTGATAATTTTTTTTTCAAAATTTATCATAGCAAAATAAGCAGCCTATTTCACAGCAAGTAATATTTAGAAGAATTACATACAAGAAACTTCTCCAAGGCTAATGAGGTGACTTAAGAATTAATAGTTTAAGGGAAAAATATACTAAAAACCAGAAGTCAAATTGTAAGGCCCAATTTAAGTAAGATACATGTTTATAAAAACAATAAAAATTAAAGAGAAACTGAACTGTAAGCCTGTGGCAGAATACTTGCTTAGTTAGCACAGAGCTCTGGGGTTTTACCCTCAGTACTGTAAAATAAAACTAAAAAAAAAATGTAAATATGTAAAACTCACATAACAAAGAGATTTTCCTAGTGCTCTATAGAATGTATCACCCATTAGCACTTACATGCTCCTAATTGTTTCAGCACAAACATAAAGTTGATACTGAGGATGAAAGCAGTGTCCAGGCTCAATAATCCAGGGGACTTTGGGTTAGAGACCAAATTTTATCAGAGCAGATAGAAACGAACAAGGGGGGAGGGGGAATGTTCAAGGGCTGTGGCCTAAAGAATGCATACATAGATATCTATTTTTTTTTCCACTGGATGTCTCTATATAGTCCTGGAAGTATTGAAGCTCACTTTGTAGATAATGCTGGCCTCAAACTCAGAGAAAGCCTCCTGCCTCTGCCTCCAGAGTGCTGGGACTTTAAGGTGTGTGTGGCTCAGATACTGAATTTATAAATGAGAATTGAAGACAATTAGACCAGTGCATAGACAGAAGAGTCAATGGGGGCATATCTTACCTTATCATGCATAGTCCAACCAACGTATTTTAAATAGCTGTCATTAAGAAAGGCATCACTATACATCTTCATCCAAATGCCAATCTCCTCAATGCATATAGCTCTGATTTCAGCTATTGCATCCCTAAATGGGGGAAGGGCAAGTAATATAATCAGTGCTACTATACTACCAGAGATATAGTGAATTCAAAAGATGTCATGTATTTCTAATCTCCAATTAATATGACACCATGTTAACCTTTCTTGATGATTAAAAAGATTTGAAAGGAATCATAGCTCCAAATATTAACATGTATACAGTCTAACTGGCAAAGAACAATAAATGTAAAAATTTTAAATTAAACAAATTTGCTTAATTGCACAGTTGGTTAAAGAACCTGTCTCATAAACAAAACCTTTACCTTTACTCTAGATTTGTGATTCTCAACCTTCCTTATGCTGCAACCTTTTAATAGTTTCTCATCTTGTGGTGAGAAACTATTAAAAAAATTGTCTCATTGCTAATTCATAACTGTAATTTTGCTACTGTTATGAATCATAATGTAAATATCTGTGTTTTCCGATGGTCTTAGGTCTTCTTTCAAAAGAAAACAGGGAAAGTAATAAAGCAAAATCATAATCTTCCAAGTATAATTACTTGATAACTATAAGATTCAGGCCAAGAGTAACTGATTTTAGCTCATGATTCCTGTTTTTAAAGATAAAGTCTCATTTGTGATGCTCAGACTTGTCTCCAACTCTGGGGCTCAAGTGATCCTATTCCTTTCTACTCTTGGAATTCAAGTATATGTCGCCCTACTTGTCTTTTACGAAGCCATTTTGAGTTTACTTTTTATTAATGGCAAGTCATTGAAAGCAAAGGATTAACTCAAAGAAGAAAGTTTTAGGAAATTGTAATAATCAATAAATATGATTAAGATAAGGGAATATAAAGTAAGAGAACAGCTGCCAAAGATACAAAAACACAAGTGTTAATATGGGAATATTATTTTTAGAAAGCATTAAATGGATTCAGAAAGTACCAGTTGAGGAAATGAGGCTGAATAAAAATGGAACCAATATTTGTAAATATGTTATAAACTGTGCTAAAATTACCTTTCTCATCTGCTAAAACAAAGTAATAAAATGAAGCATCTTACATTAATCTATCCAAATTTTCCCAGTGAAATTAAATAAAAGAATAAGGAATTAGCACATGCAATCAAGCAACACAATATACCCTGAAGCAATTTTGTACCCTTGCCAAACAATAGTGGACTACAACAAGTCAAGCAGAGTATTGCCATTTACTCAGAAAAGAAATATCAATGTCAGAGCAGTAAAATGAATTTTCTAGACTTTCTCAGTGGCAGAACTTAGTTTCCAACATTTATCTTACTATACTACTCTTTCCCTTAATTTGTAATGTCTAAACCACAAACACTCTTCACTTACCGGTATCTATGTACAAACACTCCTTTAAATATTGCATTCATCATATTTTCTATTTCATCTTGATTTTCCTGAAGCTAAAGAAGAACACACCATTTCTTTTGAATTACAAAGGAACACAACCAAAACACTTAAAGGCTGTTGTAAGTAACAATGTACACAGATTCCACCAGTAATTGGTGAATACATTTTTTTTGTTCTACTGGACTTAAGCAACTACAGAGAAAAAAATCAAATATTAAGCAAATAAAATCCCTTGATTCCTGAAATGTATGACTTAACATCTAAAATCTGGCTTGTAGATTATTTTTGTTACTGCATATGAATCTCCACTGTGCAATAACAGTTTATAAATTTCTACCATATAATGAGTATTCACAACAAAAAACAGGTAAGAAATTTTCATTCTTAGTCTGATGAAAAAGAAGTGTCATGTAAACTATGCTTGCTAAAAACACAAAAAAAGGTAAAATAAGTGAATATAAAAACTGTACTGTTAATAAATTGTTTTCAGGAAAGAAATACTGACTTGAAATAGTAAGTAACATTTCAATTCTTGATTAGTTTATTCCAAATGTACATATTTACTCACATATAGTATCATTTTATAGTTTTAGAATTAACAGAATATTGTTTTATATTCTAAGGAATATTATTTTATAAACATAAAATAAAATTTAAAATATAAAAACATAAATTTACAATCTAAGGAATATTGTTTTATAGTCATATTATAAAATTAAGTTTTATATTATTTCATGTGATTTTTATAAAATGTATTTCTCACTGCATAAGTAATATCTTGTATTTCCAAATGATGTTAAAATGGGCATGTATTTATATTCATTAATACAGTCAATTTTTCAATTTGTTTAAAATATTGGCCATAGACTAAGGATATACATTAGCAACACAATATTTACCTACCAGACCAGCTCTTACGTTACAAAGTAAACAAAAAAAGGGAAGAAGGACAGCCATGTAAGTAAAAGGGAAGTAGGAGGGATGGGGAGAGGAAAAAGAGGGAAGTGAAGGAAGTGAAAAAGAAAGCAAAGACGGGGAAAGGATGAAACAAAACATAACAATGCTAATATAGAAAAGGGGGTAATTTGTGACTGAGTCCAAGGCTTCCCACATGTAAGAAAGGCATTCATCAATGAGCTATCTGTGAACCTTTTGGCATATTTGTACTAAAATTTTAATTTCAAGTACTTTTTCCATTCATTCTATATAAACAATTTATCCAAGACTACAGGCATAATTTCTAGATAAAATATACTTCTTATTTAGAATGAACCTATCAAGAAAAATTAAGGTACAGATGCATCAATTCTTCATTTCAAATTACATGAAAAAATGAGGGACATAAAAATAACTTTGCCTTCAATAAATCTTTTGAAATAATTAACCTCAGAAATAGGTTTCATTAAGGCATTTTTACCCATGATTACCCCACAATTTGCCCCTGCACGTGCACATTTTCACCCCCAGAGTTTCCCTTAAATTCATGTGTACTTTATTAACCTCATTACTCTTTCTAGTTTCATGACAACTATATGTACACACCAATATAAAAATTTAAGTAAGTAGTTGTCTTTTCTTTCTTATTCTTCCACCCACTCCCCTGGAAAAAAGGCTTTCTCGGGAACTCACTCTGTAGCCCAGGCTGGCCTCAAACTCAGAGACCCACCTGCCTCTGCCTCCCAAGTGCTGGGATTAGAGGCATACACTACTACTTACTGGCTTGTCTTCACTTTTCTTAGCTTTATCAAATCAAATTATTTGAATAAGTAAGAAATAAAGAATTTAAAATTTTAGTTTCTACTTCTTCAAAAAAAATCCAAAGGGTCTGTAGATTATCATGAATCAACTACATTACATTTTTTTCTTGAACATGCAAAATTATAAGTCCCATTGTGAAGTAGAAAAACATTTTATCAATATTGAAGAAAAAACTTAAGTTACAAATGAAGCATAAAGAGATTTCATTTATCAATGTTTAGGATAAAACTAGCACTGAATTTCATTTGAAACTAAATTTGGTTAGCAAATTCCAATAAGAAGCTTTAAGTCATTTTACAAATGGAATTGACATTAACTATGAAATCTCATTTAATCCTATCAATAAATTGAGGAAGACAGACAGGACAAAAACTGTCAGTAACACGAATAATTCTTGGTCTTAGATAACTTTCCAGACAAGCCCAAGTCATCTTACTCAAACACAATACTCAAGAGTAGCCTACACAGAAAATGTACAATGAGGTATTGTTGACATGGATATTTAATAAAATTTGGAGTCAGGTGCATAGGCAATGTTTAAATCTTTCTTGGAACTCGGGTGCTGCAGCTCAGTGGTAAAGCATATACATGGCATTAATAAGGTCCTAGGTTCTATCCTCACCACGAATAAAAAAATAAAGAAAACTTTAAAAATTATCTGAAACTGGCAATTTATAATTAATGGTAACCGAGTTAGTTGCATATTAGTAGCCTAAATATTAAATATTAGAGTTTACCTCTTTACGCTTTTGCAGCAGGAGTTCTAGCCTCTCGTTGGCTCGTTTTCCAATCATTTTATTCCGTTCAGCCTCATACTGTCTTTGTGTATTATCCATATTAATGCTAAGATTTAGTGCCACATTTACCAAAGCGGTCATCAACTTCATAGCTAGAGTTTACAGGAGAAAATGTTGAAATTAGTTAGTATAATAGATGCAAACTTGTATTACCAAGATCAAATTACGAGAAATTGAGCAATATTCTGCTTTTTGACTGAAATAAATCATACAACTTTTTTCATAGCTGAAAGCAGCACATAATGTCTGGAATATTATGGGTCAGTAAACTTCCTACTTAATAGCTATTAAGAATTGGATTATCTACTAATTCTCACAAAATCCCACCAAAACAAGAGCTAAGGAAATTGAAACTGAAAGACATTAAGAAATCTGGCCTTGAACTGAAAACCTCAAGCAGTTCAGCAGTTATAAGCACTGGCTGCTCTTCCAGACAACCCAAGTTCAAGTACCAGCACCTATATGTCAGATCATAGCCATCTATAACTCCAGTTGTAGGGAATCCAAAGCACTATTCTGCCTTCCCCAAGCAACAGGCACACATGGTATATACAGACATAAATGTAAAAAAAAACATGCATACACATAAAATAAAGTACATTTTAAAAGTACAAAGAAATCTGTCCTATGTTACATATTTAGGTTCAACTGGAATTCAGAACAATGTATATACTAAGTACAGAACGTATTTACCTGCAAGTATTATAGAAAGTATTTCTTACAATGGTGTTTAAAGATTGTGATTTATCTTCTAAGAAAATCAAAGTTTATGTAATATTCATTTTACCATCCCTCTGCCTAAAGTAGGAAGAATCAAATACTATTTTTAAAAGAATGTTTGTGATGGGCTCTTAACACTATTGCCCAGGCTAGCCTAGGACTGACTATATAGACCAGTCTGGTCTCTAGTCTCTGCCTAATGACAATCCTCCAGTGTCAGCCTCTGAGTACAAAGATTATAGACACAAGCCACCATTCTCAAATTTAACTGCCTTTTTGGATTAAAGGAGTTTCTTAAGTATCCATTTTTAGTTTTCCTGTTGAATATCATCACAAAGACAATAATAAAATTGTCAAGAGACATAGATATGTACATATGCATGCATCAAGTAAAATGAAATGACAATTAACAAAAAGCTTTTTTAATGACATGTCCTCTAGATCTCTACTGTTTGTTACTAACTTGAGACAGACTACTTTCGTCTGGCATTTTTAATGTATTAATCTTTAATACAAAAATCTAATTCCGTCCTTTCTTTACCATATTCCAGACCACCTGCCATATAATACATTAAATGATATAACAAAGCAACAGTGTAATTTGATTTGTGGTTATTGGGCTTTTTTCTGTTGTAAGTTATTTAACACCTAGAGAAAAAAATCAAAAATAAAAATACCAATCAACTCTCAATAGTTCACATTGGGCAGAAGATAAGAAATATTGACTTAGAGGGTCACTATATATATATATATATATATATATATATATATATATATATATATATATATATATATTTAAAGTAGCACTCAGGATACAGAAGCAGAAAAGTTGTCTTTGAGTTCGAGGCCAGCTATGGAGAGTAAATTCCAAGCCAGACAGAACTACACAGTGAGATGTCGTCTCAAAAATACTTAAAAGAAATTCACAGTATTATTACTTGTTTCCTCGTTGATGGTAATCTTCCTTGTCTATAAACAAAGCGAATGTCCATAAAATATTTCAAAATACCAACCTGCCAGGGTGCTTGTGTGTCGAAATGCTCTGACTTGTGAATCAGACAATCCAGTAAGAAGTGAAATGACAGTATCCATCATGTACTCATCATATATGATACTATATTGACATTGCCGTACTAATACACCAATGAACTCACAAAAACTGGACTTGAATTTCTTCCACTGAGGGCCAGCCATGGTGAGTGGATAATCTCCACTATCCTAAAAAAAAAAGTTTAAAACAGAAATTCATTTCAAGTTCATAGCTTAGTTCATTTACTTTTAATGTACCCCAGCCAAAAGCATGAAAATACTATCTATCCTACTTTCTTTTTCAACAATGAATTCTCAAGGAAAGCAAAAGAATATGTAAAAATAGATGTATTCATCTTTGAACATTGACCTTTTACTTAAGATCAAAGTAGAGATTTTAATAGACCTCACTTTGATCAAAGTAGTTAAATATCAATTCTTGACATCAGTATTCCCTCATCAAAGTAGAACATTATTTTGAAAAGCACAAATGTATCTAGTAATTTCTTTAGACCAAACAAAAATTATACCTTCTGTTTTGAAGTAATAAAATTGTATTCTCAGCCAGTCAAATAGAATATATAAAACAAAAATCAGTTAAATTTTTTCATTAGAATCAAGACACCAGATAGTCAACAGGCATAAGCATCACATAATTTAACAAATGCAAAGTTGGGAATATAGCTCAGCAGTAGAACACCTGCTAGAATGAGTAAGGGCTTTAATTTGACCATAAGCATCAAACAATGAAACAAAATTCAATAAATAAAAGGAAATGTAGCTACTACAGTCGCCCAAAGTTAGCACTCAGGTTTTCCTCTGTATAAAAATGGGGAGCATTCATCATTCTGAACTAAGAGCCTCTAGAAATCATTAAAAATACATCCTAGACTGAGTGTTTAGCTTAGTAGTAGAGCACGTGTCAAGAGTAAGGCCCTGGGTTTCATCCATAATATGTATGTGCACATAAAAATATTTAAATGAATACTTAAAACAGATACCAATAATTTATAAAAACTGAAAAAGTGCTTCTGACAAGAAAAACCAAATGATTTAAAATCAATTTAATGTTTAACTTCATAATTAATTTATTTAACTCATGCTATATAGAAGTCCAACTGTGCTTGAGAATAAGGCCCTGGAATACTCAAATAAAAGGATTCCTTTTTGTTTATTTTTTGGACGAATGAGGATTAAACCCAGGGTCTAGATCATGTTAAATGCACACTCTTGACACTGAGCTACTGATGAGCTCATTTAGTTGATTATATTGAAATACAGTTGTGAGCAAATTGGTTTGCTGAGATTTTTTAATCATATTTCAAGATGATTAACTCAAACCCTTGTTTTCTTTTACTAAGAAGGTTCTAATTAAAACATTTATTATTGAAAGATTAAAAAAACACCATTGCTCATAAATAACTTCCTGCTACTAAGGGACTGATTAATAGCACTTAGTGGCATCAAAACCATTTTAACAACTCATCTATCTCTTAGAATGAGAGTTGAAAGCTTTTTCATTAGACAGAGCAAGAAAAAAATGACCAAATAAAACAAGTGAGACAAGTGTTTCTACTTGAAAATTCAAGTCATTTTGGAAGCGTAAAACTCCTAGTGCTGGAATACAGCTATGAATAAAAAAACACACACACAAATTTCAGTCCTGGAGAAGTTCTCACTTTAGTAAATTTACCAGTGATTTATTGGTAACAATACTTCAATGACATTACTGCAATAATCAATTCCAATATATCACTATTTTTTGTTCATAGAGTTGAAATATAAGGGTTTTTATGTAATAATCTATACATTCTTCATCTAAACTACCTAGTTACTCAAATACTTGAACAGATCTTCATTTTCCAATATTTCAGAATGTTATATTCTCAATTATTTGTTCCCAACTTTTATTTTATAGTAACAGTTATATTAAGTTCTTGCTATATGCACAGAATTTTAAAATGCTACGCAATTTTCAAACATCTTCAGAGCAGCCTTATAACAAAACTATTATCCCCATTTACAGATAAGACTGACGCTAAGACAACTCACCTGAGGTTGCATAGCTATCATCTGATGAATACCATAAGCAATATCTACAATATGAGCACTTAAAAATATGTACATGTTAAGCCACAATTGACATGAATAAAATTATTAAAACATTTAGAATGTTACCTCATCAAATTCTTCAGTCATTTTTCGAATTATCTCAGAGTTCTGCATATGTCTAAACATCTCTGCTGTGACAACTCCTGAAATTTCCAAGTATTAGAAGTTAATATAAGGAGGAAAAGAACTACAGAGAACATAAAACAGCACACCTATGTCTACACTCACAATAAAAGCATACTTCTTAAACTGACAGGTATGATTCTTCCTAGCATGATCACTTTGGAACACTACTACCTGTATTACTTTACTCATACCGATATACTATAATACAACCATCCCTCTGTATCCATGGGGAATAGGATACCACAATTCTTGGGTACCCAAGTTTCTCATGTAAAATTGTGCCATATATGAATACAACCTATATATAGTAAGTATCCTGAAGCTATGATACTGTATCATTGTTTAGCCAATAAGGACAAGAAAAAATTCTGTACTTATTTGGAACAGGCCATTTTTATTTTTTAAAAAATATCTAGATGTTATATCTGCTATCTATAAAAGGATGACTATATTAGTTTTCCCTCTTTAACATAAACAATGATACCATTTTAAAATTTGAGGATGAATGTGAAGACAAGAAAAAGTAATGTAACAGGCACAGTTCATTTTGACCATGTTCCAATACTGTGCACAAAACCACTATATACTGACATCCTCTCATCAGGCTATAGAAAGATAAGAGTCAGAAGTTATAGGTCTAGTAGTCTAGTGGTTGTTGAAATATGTAAAGGTATCTTCAGTAATAGGATCCCACTGTTACGTTCTCGAAGACAACTTGGAGCATTGGCACCTGTAATACTGGGGGTTTGTGGGTGCTGCTGGTCAACAATACCAAAAGAACTAACCTATTCCTAACAATGGGCTTTTTATTTCATAGGCTACTGAGCCTATGTTGGTTGTTCAGGAGAGGAATTGTTGCCCCGTTGTAAAGTATCTCCATTTTAACTCTTTTTATATACTTGTGTGAGAAAATGGAAACCTGCCACCCCCCCCTCTATCCCTCCCTCCCACCCACACTGTGAGTGCATGTAAAATTAAGATTCTACAAAGTAGGTTTCCATTATTATTTTTTCTAAAAGCCTTTAGTGTCATTTATTCTTTCCTGTATCCCCTCCTTTATCCTGCCCTCCCCTTTCCCAACCAATTTAATCCTTTTTTCTTATTACCTTATGTCCTTCATACCACTGTGTGTATACTATGTATACATTTACATCATTGTGTATACCATTGTGAACCTGGAAGATTCAACCCTACTGCCTAGTTTTCAGGAGTGCTACAAGGTGCTATGTTTATATACTATTGAAAGAAAAAAATAATCATCAGTCTTACCAGGCCAAATATAAAACCAATACTTGGCACCATTATGGAAAAGGAACTGATGGCTAGATGGGTCATAGGCCTTAGGGGAGAACCTACTACTGTCATTCTGGTAGATGGACAGAGTCTTAATGTAACTTCCAATGACTTCTCATTATACCCACAGATTGATTATTTGGAGATGGTGACCAACATACAGAACTACCAGCCAAGGTACAGACAATAAGAGACTACAGAATGCTCAGTCCTGAATTGAACATATATACTGATCTCCCTCCTCCCAAGATTTGTGTATCATTATGGAAGGACAGAAAGAACATGAGACAAAGGAGGTAGATAACAACAAGAAAGCACTGTTTTCTTATACATAATAAATTAGCTGTACATATGCATTCACAGTTTATCAGAAAATATTTACAAAACCAGGGAGAGGGAAAATTGGTTTCCTACGAGATTGTAGCCTCTAGTAATGTGACCACAGTCTAGCAGAAAGTCACAGAAGAACAATATGTTGGGTGGGTAAGGAAGAGGATCTGGGAGGAATTGGAAGGCGTTATAACCAAAGCACAATGTATAACATACTCAAAGTTCTAACAAACTAGAGGCTATTATTTATGAGTTTTAATCCCTAAACTCTATTATTCTATACCATAACATCTAAGCCTATATCTCTTCATTATTTACCTTCTCCCTTTTTTTCCACTTCATTGCTAAGCCAGATGCCAAAAGTAGGAAATCTAATAAAAGACCTTAAACAATATAAATTGCTAAGTTTTTAGATAAATTTCATAGTGAATACACCTTTGTCAACAGACTTTCTCTCTTGCTTTGTTCTTTGCTTTTCTCCTTATACATTTTGCAGATATAATGCAAATAATTCACTACCTTGACATTATTTTCCATGAGAAGGGATAAATTCTTTAAAAAAAAAACTGGGTATCTAAGAACTTATGATTCTAAAATAAATATACTTTACCTTTACAGCCCGAACACTGAATAAAAAAGTTGATAAGGTCAAGAAGTGCTATATCTCGGTCATGCTTGTATGATTCTATCCAGTCATCTACCACCGACTAGAGAGAACAAGAAAAAATAAAAAATCATTAGTTTTTACTGATGGTCTAAGAAACAATTAACTCTAATGAAAAGCCATAAAATTCAACATGATGTAATACCACATCAATTTTAAAATATTCATTTTAAAATTGAAAGTTTGATTTTAATTTTAATAGAATCAAATTTAATAAAGTAACTGGCTGATAATATAAAATAACCACCCACCTTCTAATCATTCATAATTATTTTTTTAAAAAAACTGGGCCAATGAGATCACTCAGTAGGTAATGGCCCTTGTTGCTCAGCTTAGAAACCTGAGTTCAATTCCCAAGAACAAAACAATATTAGGAGAGAACCAGTCCCAGCATACCCCTCACAAGTTGTATGATGACCACCACGGTCAAGTCATGACATATATACATGCTTGTGTGGCACATACACACACAAATTTAAAAATTTCAAAAACCAAAAACTAAGTTACGTCACCATTCTATGGAATCTATAATTATGTCATGGATATTGACATTGTAATATCCTAGAAAACATAATCACCCTTATATTTTCTACATAAATTCCTTTTTATATCACACCAGTATTTTGTGTTTTTACCATGACGAAGGTTAAGTGCTTTTGTATGTGCACATATGCAAAATAAAACATAAACTTTTAAAAATCTAGAAATTTAACAAAAACTAAGTAATAATGTTCAATTTTATAAAGTGTAATTGTTTCTTTGTGACATTAATAATATTCTAGGGAATATATCATCCTAAGATTTTATGTATAAAAAAAATGCCTCTGCATGTTCAGGGTGATATGACCATAGACATGGAATGAGGCTTTAGCTAGCTTCTGCCTCTGGTTGGTATATGGACAACACCCCTCATGTAAGAAAGAACCTGGCTCTAGTATTTTCTGGTTGAATATCAGACCTGGAGACATACATTTGAGATTTCTACCATAGGCCATTTCCAGACCTTTTATTGTGAATTGTTAAAAACTGCTTTTTCTTGTCAGACATGCATGTTTGGGGTGGGGGGTGATGATGCTACAAAGATGCTGACTGAGTTTTTCAGGTAGGATCTCCAGTCCCAATCATCATGATGTTGACTAGTCAGAGACTGACTGCACTGCCAAGAAAACCCTGCATCAGACCAGATGTGGCTAAGAGGACCAAAGGGAGAGGGGAGAAACTGGAAACTGACTGGGAAAAAGGGCCCAGAAAAGTGAATGGCAGTCACTGATTGGAGGGGTATTCTACAATGTGCCCTTAGTGGCCTGGCTCCTAGCAGTAGAAAGTGGAAAGCGGTGGGATGCTGTCAATACCTTGAGACTGATTAAGCCAAATTTATTTCTTAAGTGATAGATATGAGGCTTCAGCATTGTCACATTTGAACACCAGTTATTTTTGATTAAAGATAACTACTTTCCCCCAAAAAAACAAATGCTTAAACAGATAACCAAGAAGCCTTGATACTGATCAGTGATGCCAGAAGCTAGACTAACATTCAAGATAAAAACAGCAGTCTGGAGAAGGAATGTGCATGTTGGCACACTGCCTCAGACAAAGGCATATTGTAGTATTGGGGGTCACTGTTTTTACTTAACTGAAAACATATTAAATAGAGCTGCCTACAAAAGTCCTTAAGAGTGTAGTATGAATACTTAGGCAAAGCCCAAGTGTTATGATCCATTTGTCCCCAGCAAGTTAGGCATTTAAAGCATTATCTGCCTGCCTTTATGACCTTGAATCAACATATGAACAAGAATGAAGGGTTACTGTCAAAGAATTGATGGGGAATTTGGTATACGACACTCACTGATTGCATAACAAATATTTTCTTCAAACATTAAAAAAAATGTTTTTTCTTGCTTGTGCATCAGCTGACTGAGTATTAAAGGGTTTGGAGAGCAAAAGCAAAAAATGTCATACTTCTTTCTTTGTTTAGTAAGATATTATAAATAAAACGAGTCAATTTAAATGCACAAAAGTGATCAACAGTACTTGAAAAGAATGACTTAGGATGTATAAAGACAAACAAAATTTGAATGGTACCTGTCACACAAATGCCAGAATGAATTTCACTATTATATACAATATGTCATATGCTAATCAAGGTTAAACTTTAAATTTAAATATAAACAAAAATTGAAATTTTTAAAGAGGTAAAAGCCTGAATCAGTGAAGAGATAAAAAAATGCTTTTTCAATAGTGAGCCCAAATAAAACAATGCTAATTATTTTTTAAAGGCAAATTAAATGCTAAATATAAATTAGTAAGATAATTCACAAATGTGGAGAGGTAATAGTATTAGATGCCCAATATTCCTAAACTTATCTCACTGTAATTCCTACCAAAATTCCAGCTGATGTATTTGTAAATATTAAAGCTAATCCTAAAATTCATAATTACAAAGGAAACTAAGTATCAAAATCAGTATTTTAAAAGGAAAATATCTGACCTGGGGAGATACCTCAGTGGGAAAAACATCTGCCTTACAAGCTTATACATATACATACACATATATGGTACATATACATACCATATATGGTACATATACTACTTAACTCAAATTGATCAGATAACTTTCTTAAAAAATGAAAAACTATAAAATCCTAGAACAAAAATAAAAAGGGAGTAGCTCAAAAGTATAAACACAAGAAAGTATTAATAAGTGAAACCTTATATTTCAAAAGTTTCATCAAGAAAGTGAAAGGTAGTCCACAGAAAGGAATACATTTTTTTTTTGTTTTTTCAAGACAGGGTTTCTCTGTGGCTTTGGAGCCTGTCCTGGAACTAGCTCTGTAGAGCAGGTGGTCTCGAACTGACAAAGATCCGCCTGTCTCTGTGAGTGCTGGGATTAAAGGCGTGCGCCACCATCGCCCGGCCGGAATAAAATGTTTTTAAGTCACATATCTAACAAGTTATCTGTGCACTAAATATATAAAGAACTTTCACAATTATGTCATTTTTAAAAAGACAAAGTGGAAGCTGGAGAGATGGCTCAGAGACTAAGAGTAATTACTGTTCTTCCAGAGGATCTGGGTTCGGTTCCCAGCACTCACAGTTACTCACTTGTAACTCTAGGGGATCCAATACCCTCTTCTAACCTTAGAGGGCAAAACATGCATGCAGACCACAGACACACAGAGACACACAGGGGAAGGGGGAGTGAGAAAGAGAGGAAGGGACATGAAAAGATGTCTAATACAAAGAAAAAGTAAAGAAAAAAACAGAAAAATGATTATAATTTCAAAAACTATAGCAACACACATTGACAAAGCTGTAGAAAGATAAAACACTAAAACACTGCTAGCAAAATATAAAATGGTAGTCATTTTGGAAAATCATTTGGCAACTCCTCAAAAAGTTAAACATAGAGTAATATTATATATGTATTCTATGTTCATAGAAAAATATGTATGACACAACAAATTAATACTCAGGTATATATTACTCAAGAGAAATTAAAACATATGTCTAACCAAACACTTGTACAGCACTGTTCAAAACAAGGAAGTACTGACAAAACAAATGTGTAAGAATGTAGGAATATATAACTAAACATTGAATGTTCATACAATATAGCAAACGGGCCAAAAGGAATAGTCATAATACAGGCCACAAAACAGATAAAATTTTATAGAGTTACTTTAAATAACAGAAACTACTCATAAAGAGTCATATGTTCTATGATTTCATTTATACAAACTGTCCAGAAGAGGTGACGATACACAAAGTAGATGAGTGGCAGCCTAGACCTTACAAAGTTATTGTTAGAGGACATGGACTATAAGGACCAGGAATTCTTCCGCCCTCTGCAAAGGGCCATGTGTTAAATGTGAAAGGCTTAGTCCTCAACTTAGACTTATTGGAAGGTGGTAGAAACTTTAACATTTGGGGTCCTAATGGGAACCTGAGGCAGTTGGAGGCATGTCCTCAAAGAAAATTATGCACTACCTTTGTTTTCTGATTGCTGTGAGGTAAACAAGTTTATCCCAGGTGATGGAGGAGGGTCATGTGTCTATGTGTTACTTTCATTGGTTAATAAAGAAACTGCCTTGGCCCTTTGATAGGACAGAAAATTAGGTAGGTGGAATAGACAAAACAGAATGCTGGGAGAAAGAAGCAGATCCAAGCAGATGTCATGCCTCTCCTTTCTGAGATGGAAGCACGTTAAGATCTTTCCTGGTAAGCCACCACCTCGTGGTGCTACACAGATTACTAAATATGGGTTAAAGTAAGATGTGAGAATTAGCCAATACGGGGCTAGAGCTAATGAGCCAAGCAGTGTTTAAAAGAATACAGTTTCCATGTAATTATTTTGGGTAAAGCTAGCCGGTGGCCAGGAGACCTCCAGAGTGGCAGAATGCAGCCCGTAGCGCCTATCACTGCAGTGATGTAGGTGGGTCATCTGTCAATGTGTTGCTTTCGTTGGTTAATAAAGAAACTGCCTTGGCCTTTGATAGGACAGCAGCTTAGATAGGTGGATTAGACAGAACAGAATGCTGGGAAGGGAAGTGAGGCAGACGCTATAGCTCTCCTCTCCAAGATGGACGCCAGTTAAGAATCTTCCTGGTAAGCCACCAACTCGTGGTGCTACACAGATTAATAGAAATGGGTTAATCAAGATGTGAGAGTTAGCCAATAAGAGGCTAGAGCTAATGGGCCAAGAGGTGTTTAAAAGAATACAATTTGTGTGTTGTTATTTCGGGTATAAAGCTAGCCGTGCGGAAGCTGGGCGGGAACGCAGCCCACCGCTCCACACAACACCCAGGTTATCCCCACCAGGATGTGACACATGATTATAGACCCAAAGAGGAGGCTGGGGAGACAAATAACCAAACTGAAAACTCTGAAACTGAGTTCAAATAAACTTTTCCTCTTCTTATGCTAGTCATGTCGGATATTTATTATAGTAATGGGCCCAAGCTTTAAGTCATTTTCAATACAACAGCTTATATAGGGTAACCAGCACAATTAAGAAAAGTATTGAAACATTTTCCCAAAATGATCAATAAGAAAAGAATGAAAGAATACACCATACAGTGTAATAGTTTAACCTGATTAAAAACTGTTCCCCAGTAAAAGGTGAGGGATCTATGCCTTCTTTCCATACAACAGAGTGTAGCAGTTATGTTGAAAATTAGGTCATAGGAAGCCACACAGCTGCACTAGTTTCTTGGAATGCTAGGGGACAAGATACTACTTAAGACTCTAAATTCAGACAATATACTCTAAAATGCACAAGTCACATAGAGAAGTTATTTATAGGTAAAGCTCTGGCTTACTCCAACTTCTGAGTTATCACAAACTATTTACCATGCCTGAGTAAAGAAGTCTTTAGATGATTAGGGCGACTAATTGTGTTAATACCAGACATTTAATGTATACCAACAAAAGTCATGGAGCAAGAACAAATTTTTCCAAAATAGCTCTGCATAAATTCTAAAAGCATTTCTGTGGTTGGGTAGCACTATATTACCAAGAATAAGGGTATACTAAACAATATAGTTACAAAAATGTCCAATAAAATTTTAAAAAGAACATCCCAGAATAATTTGAAGTATTATTAATAATACTTGAGATTCAAGGACAACTTATAATAGGAATGCAAGTCTTTCACAATTTAAAAACTGTAAAAAAAATGTAAGCTGTTACACTAAAAGTGGTTTAAAAATTCTATGGAGGTGGATGCTTGCTATATACCTCAGGCTCAGTTGGAATTCATTATGTAGCCCAACTTGGCTCAGAACAAAGGATGCTTCAGACATTTTCCCTCAAGGACTAGGATTACAAGTGTATACCATCACAAATAGGTACAAATAGGTAAATTTTCTTCTAATCTAATAGTACACTAAGAACATATTTAGAACTGAGCATAGGGACACAAGCCGACAAATATCAGCATTCACGAGACTAAAGCAAGTCACTACTTCCAGGCCAGTCAAGCTACACATTCTGTCTCAAAGAAACAAAAGAGGGGAAATCAGAGCCAGATATACATACATTACTATAATCTGATATTGTAAATGTGTTAATGGAATGTCAAGAGTAAGGTAAGAATAAATGTTACATTGGAAAAGTGAAGACAGTACCTAAGACCGCTTTTCAAAATAGTGACATTTAGAGGCTGAAGAGATGGATCAGAGGTTAAGAACACACACTGATTTTACAGAGGACTCTGAGTTTAATTCTGAATATCCACTCAGGCAGATCACAATTGCCTGTTGCTCCAGTTCCAAAGGGGCCAATGTCTCTGTACTACTTGGGCACCTGCACTTAAGTGAATACACCCACATGCAAAAACACATATATGCACATAATTAAAAGTAAGCTTATAAAAGAACGAACTTTTATTCAGTCATCCCTATTTGATTTGGAAGAAAGAAAAGGAACTATTCCAAGCACGTAGAGAAACATAAAGGCCTGAGCACTGTGGCTGAAAAATATAAAGTATGCCATAAGGAAATCGGGGCTGAAACTTTTGAGTGAGGGGAAAATCCAGTTTCTAAAAAGCAGGTTTCCTTGATCAAATTTGGCCTCAGGAAAGTAACACAAGAGGAAAATACACATAACTTAGAGGTGTACAAGAGCTTTACAGCAATCCCTGGGAAGATAACTAAAAATGTCGCTTGGGGGCAGGCAGAAACAGAGTTTGTTCAGGTTTTTATTTTCACTTTTTACTTATCTTTCTCATCTCATTGCTGGGGGCCAAACACAGGTCCCTGTGCATGCTAGACTAGTCTAAAAACATCTGATAACCTAAAATAGTCAGCAAAAGCACAAAAGACCAGAGAAAACCAGAAGCATCTACTTTGCAGTGACTCTAAGTTGAAATTTCTGGTAATTTGTATACCTCCTGTCATTGCATGTCATGTTGAGACCTTAGCACCAGTGTGATAGTCTTAGGAAAGTTTGGCAAGACTTTATAGGATGCTCTATCTATGAACCAAAAGGCCCTTCAGACATTAAAAATCTTACAGCACCTTGATCCCAGACATTCTAGATTGCATAACTTTGAGAAACCACTTTCTGTTGTTTATATGCTATGTAGACCAGGTCATTTTTCAGCAATGCAAACGAACTAAAATACTGAAGTTTACAAAAATAAAGGACACCAGACAAAACGACTCCATTTGTTGATATTTGTATACACAAATATACTTCAAAGAATATCATAACTGTTACCTGCATAGCACTCTTGCCCATTTTAACAACTTCAAACAACATCATGTTTTCCACTCCATTCTGTTGATGATGACCATTCATTCGGTTTGGACCAGAAGGAGGTTTTCCTCCTCCATTTCCACTTTTACTCTTTTCTGCTGGACCTTTTTTGCCTTTTTTACAAGTCTGCACACACACACACAAAAAAAAAAAACAAGCTGATTAACTTATATCCTTGAGAACTGAAAAAAAATATCAAGAAAGCTGCTGATTAAGTTTTAACTTGATATATAAAAGAATGTCATTCATATATAAGAAAGTTACATGACAGTTAAGACCTCTTTGTTTTCCATGAAGCATACATTATTTTTTAATTTTATTTATTTGCCTACTTTATGCCTTTGAGTGGTTTTTGTGCATGTTTGCATGTATACCATGTTTGAGCCTGGAGCCTATGAAGATCAGAAGAGAGCTTCAGATCCTCTGAGACTGGAGTTAGTTATGTGACACCATGCGGGTGCTGGAAGTTGAACTAGGGTCTTTGTAAGAGTTCTTACTGCTGAGTCAACTCTCCAGCCCAGAAGCTCATATTATCTTACAGCAGATCATAGTCTTTGATGACAAACTGCAGGTTGAAATTTCTAATCCTATTAGGCTGAGTGATTTTGGACATGTTACTTATCCACACATTACTCCACATCTGACATGGTGGCACGTGTTTAGAATGCCAACAGTCAAGGGAATGAAACAGGGAGACTGAAACAAATTCAAGGTCAACCTGGGCTATGTGAGGCCTTGCTGTGAAAGAGGAGAAAGAAAAGAAGGAGAATGAGGGGAGAAGAGGAATAAGAAAGAGAAATAAAAGGAAAAGAGAAACATTTTCTTGTTTGTAAAGCAGAACATAAAAACTATGGCTACCGCACAGGGTTGCTGTGATGATGAAAACAGAAAATATTTATTATAAATATACTCAGCACATAATAAATAAAACAATAATTGCTATTATTATCACTTCTGTTCGAGAAGAAATTCAGTAAATGTTACTTAGATCTAAATCAATAGAATTAAATCTACTAAATTTAATTTTGAAAAACAATGCCATATCACAGCATTAAAAGTACTCAAAATATCAACAAAGTCTGAAAAAAACACCACAGAAATAAAAAACATCTCTTCAAGTTTTATCTTAGTCTATCATTCTGTATTAGGGTACAGAAGAGAGTAGGTAGCTAGAACAACCTCCTGTAAGGTAATTCAGACTAAGTTCAACAACCTAACATAATTCCTGCTGCCAGCTTTATAATTCACTGCAATATTCTTTTAATTTTCAACTTTATTTCATGTACAAGTATTTTTCTTACACATATGGATGTGTGCCCACAGAGGCCAGAAGAGGTTACTACTGATCTCCTCAAACTATTATAGGCAGTCGTGAGCCAGCCACCATGTAGGTTCCAAGAATCAAACACAGGTCCTCTCCAAGAACAGCCAATGCTGTTAACCCACAGAGTCATCTCTACAATCTCATCATTACAATCTCAAACAAGTATTTATAGAGTGTAAATAAAGCTATGAAATTCATTTTTGTCCTGAGTCAACCCTCAAACACCATGAGAATTCAATTAATGATCACTGCGTAAAAATGAAGTTCACTTATAAGAAAGCTGTCAGTACTGGAAGTAGGAGTTTCCTGAATCAGACAATGGTTCCCTATATAGAGCCACAGAAATGGCTCATAAGGTAAAATACTTGTTGCCAAGCCTGATGACCTGAGTTCAATCCCCAGGATTCAAAGAGCAGGACTGAACAACTCCCATGAGTTATCCTCTGACTTCTACACATACGTACGCACATACATACACACATACATACATACGTAATTATGTGCATGAAAAAAGGTAAAGGCTCATTGCATAACTTATGCAAAATACTCCCACAACTTTTACACCTTGTTTAAGAAAAAGAGCCATCCCTACTACATTGTCTTTTTATTGACTAAAAATTTCATAATATAGGTTTTGTTCAAATTCCCTCTAACCCCCTACCCTTTAGTGCTCCCACTATTCCTCCAACCACTTTTCCTTCCTAATTACATCTGTTCTCTATTTTCCTTAACCCCTGGAGTCAACTTAGTGCTGCCAGTAGGTATATGGCTACAGGAAAATATACTTGTACATGGATAGTCTTTCAGGAGCTGAATCCCTATAGAAACCTGATTCTCCCTTTCCCAGTAGCCATCAATTGCCAATAGCTCCTCAGATAAGATCGGATCATAGCCCCCTTCTCCATCCACACTAGTTTGATCTTGCGCAGGTCTTTTGCATGCTACCAGGGGATAAAAGTAATCAACAATTTTACCCTAACTCATTTTTTTAAATATATGAGCATTTCATCTCTACGTATGTCTAAGCACCATGTGTGTGCGTGGTACCTAGGGAGACCCAAAGAAAGTGTCAGAACCCCTGCACCTAAATCACTATGCGGATACTAGGGAATCAAACCTTGGTCCTTTGCAGGAGCAGCAAGCAAGAGTTCTTAACCACTGACCATCTTTCCAGTCTCTCTAATTCACCATTAAAGTGTCATTGCCAAAAATCAAATCTTTCAAGGAAATATTTTCAGACCCTTGTATTTCATAACTTCAGGATCCCTTTTAGAGATATACATTCCTGTGATGATGGAGGAGGGTCATCTGTCTATGTGTTACTCTCATTGGTTAATAAAAAAACTGCCTTGGCTTTTGATAGGGCAGGATTTAGATAGGTGGAGTAGACAGAACAGAATGCTGGGAAAAAGAAAGCATAGCTGGGCAGACACCATGGAGCCAGCTACCAGGTCAGACATGCTGAATCTTTCCCCGTAAGCTACCACCTCGTGGTGCTACACAAATTACTAAATATGGGTTAAAGCAAGATGTGAGAATTAGCCAATAAGAGGCTGAAACTAATGGGCCAGGCAGTGTTTAAAAGAATACAGTTTGTGTGCTGTTATTTCCGGGGCTAAGCTAGCTGTGTGGAAGCCGGGCGGGACTAAAAGCAGGCCTGCCAGCAGCTCAGCACTACACTATGATCTAGAGAGCAAGTGTCTGTCAACCTTCTATAAAGTTACAGTAACTATCTTTGGCTTTGTAAGTGACTGCTCTACTTTGTTTCTATTTCTGTGATAAAATACTTAGGAGAGGAAGGTTTTACTTGGCTTACAATTCCAGTCAAAGTTCATCATTTCAGGGACATCAGGACAGAAACTCAAGTAGTCACACCACACAGTTAAGAACAAATAAAATTAACAATCCTTGCTTTGTCTCAGCTGGCTTTCTCTTTACTCACTTAGGTTATAGTAGTGCTCACAATCGTCCAGGTTTCCCTACATCATTTAACAATCAAGAAATTCCACCAGACATGCCATAGGCCAACTTATCTAATTCATTATACACTCTTTCCTCAAGTAATTTTAAAAAGTATCAAGTTGACAGTTAAATCTAACCAACATAGTCACATACTACATAGTCTTTATTTTTATAAGACATTAAAAATAAAAGCAATATTGTTATGTGATGGACAGTCTAAAAGCAAGCCATTTCTGTAATTTTCTGATCGAGAGTCCAACCTATAGATTTATTTTCAAAGACACTCTGTGTATGTTTGCATATTACTTTACAGAATCCTTTCTGGTTTTGGTTTGTTGTGCTTTTCTTTTTGGTGTTTTGTGGTAATGGGGATGCATTCAGGGACTAATCCATGCAAGGCAAGCAATTATTAGTGAGGTATATTTCTAGTCCTTTTGATTATTATTTTGAGACAGAATTTTGTTAATCATTTTTAGGCTGGCTTGAAGTAAACAAACAGCCCATCCTGGAATGAAAATGCAATCTATCTGCTTTAGCCTCCTAAGCAACTGAGATTAGAGGCATATGTTACCACACCTAGCAAAAACCACACTATGCTTAATAATTATTTCAGTACATAACTTTCATAATATTTTGAGATGTTACCTGTTAGTTAATTTTGCTAAAGGACTCAATCTTTGTGAACCTAAATCATTAATTCATAATTGTAAAATGAAATGCTTTTGCACAAAGTAAAAGAATTTCAGATAAGGCTAAAAAACTACGAGTATATTAAAATGTTTTTTAAAAGTTAACAATAACACAGAACCATATAATTTTAAATTGTGTATCATGTGTGTTAATATAGTTGGTCAGTATGAAAAGTTAGTACAATTAAAATACTTCAATCCATCTGCTGTGCTTGAGGAAAACATGGTAAAATAAGGGAAATGCAGAAAAAGTACAGATTGGTATAGTTACATACACTTGTAATCTCAGCACTTGAAAAGGCAGATCAGAGGCCAGCCTTGGCTGCAAAGCAAGTTCAAGGTACATGACACTAAGACTCTGTCTCCGAGAAAGATGGGACATGGGCAGAAGAGGAGGAAGAAGAAAAAATAAAAGACATTTGGTGGTAGAATCATAGTAAAAAAAAATGGATTCAGATCATTTAACCATTGACTGTCTCTAGATATCAATTTCTATCTATAAAATATGCAAGTTTTATATTCAAGACTTTCTTTTTAAATTGTAGGCAAATCTGTGAGTGGGTAAGTAACATGGGTGAAGAGATGGTGCCTGCTGAGGCTAGAGGGACCAGATTCCCCTGAGACAGACTTACAGGCAGCTATGTGTCACATGATATTGATTCTGGGAATCAAACTGATGTCCTTCAGAAAAGAAATACACAGTTGTAAAAGTTGAACCACCTCTCCAGGCTCAGGTTTTGTAATTTGATTTGATATTAAATTAGGTTATTATAATTATATAATTATACTCATGTATACATATATACTAATTGTTACCACAGCACATAAAACAAACAGAATAATGTTAAAATGTAGTTTCTCTTATTATTACAATAAATCCTTGATCTGGCCACTAACACTTCACCTTTAGCACTAGCTCTGAAAAGTTAAATAAGCTATATCACAAAAAGAAAAATTTTAGAGGGGCTTAGGCTACATCACAACAACAGACAGAATGTTCAATATATGTGAGAGCCCTTGACTCAATCCCTAGCACTACCAAACACAAGGTAAAACAAAACTCAGAAAAGTGTTTACTCTATTGAGATGCCATGAGGATGGACCCTAATCTGAATGTATAAATGAAACTATAAACAAAAGTAGACCCGAGAAAACTGTTTAATAATAAATAATCATAGGCTGGAGAGATGGCTCAGTGGTTGAGAGCACTGACTGTTCTTCCAGAGGTCCTGAGTTCAATTCCCAGCAACTACATGGTGGCTCACTACCATCTATAATGAGATCTGGTGCCTTCTTTCTGGGATGTAGGTAGGCATTCAGGCAGAACACTGTATTAAATAAATAAATAACCATACGCTGCTCACTAGAATTACAAATGTTTGTTTTCAACACTTACGAGTTCCAGTTTCCTTTCACATCCTAGTGTTTCTGTTTTAAATTTCTATTTTTTTAAGGAACTAAACATAAAAATGGTAATAAATTAATTATAGGCATTGTAAGAACTATTCCAAGATCTTGTTAAATAATTTATGTTCCATGTATAAAATGTGATGCTATGAAATCACTAAACATTACAGTTATATTCACTGATAAAAGTTGTTGAAGATTCTCATTGAGTTTGGGGTACACTTTAAACGTAGTTTGCATGGTATGGTTCCATTTAAATCAAATTCCATATGGAATACATACACACACACACACACACACACACACACACACACACACACCTGGCTAGTTTTATGTCATCAGCTTTACAGAAGCTAGAGTCATTTGAGAGAAGGGAACACAACTGAGAAAATGCCCCAACCAGACTGGGCTATGAGCAAGCCTGTAGTTTATTTTCTTGATTGATATAGGATGACCCATCATCCTTCACTCATAATGGTCAGTGCCACTTCTGGCTGGTAGACCTGGGTGCTGTAAGAAAGCAGCTCAAGCAAGCCACTACCCCATGGCCTATGCAAAAACTCCATCATCCAGACTCCTGTTATATCTGAGTTCCTGCCCTGACCTTCCCCAATGATGGAGTATAATGTAGAACTGTAAGCTGAAATAGAAAGCTTCCTCCCCAAGTTGCTTTTGGATATAGTGTTCTTTCACAGAAGTCAAAACCCTAAAGGCGTGTGTGTGTGAGCACACACACACGCACAAGCATACACATTCAAGTTCTTTAAATGTCTGAATTATAAATAAACTCTGGATCCCAGGATTATGAGGAAAGTTCACTGCACAGTTCTATACAACTTAGACTTTTTCAAAATATGTCAGTAGAAAATCATGATCTAAGGCTGGAGAGATGGTTCAGTGGTTAAGAGTACTGACTGCTCTTCTAAAGGACTCAGGTTCAATTCCCAGCACCCACATTGCAACTCACAACTGTCTGTAACTCCAAGATCTGACACCCACACACAGACTTACATGTAAGCAAAACACCAATGCAAATGAAATACAAGTAAATTATTTAAAAATCACAATCTACATGGTAGTACACATGTATAATCTCATCACTGAGGAAGAAGATTATGTCAGAAATATCATAAATTCATTCCAGCCTGGGCATGCCTAAGCTATACAGTGAAACTAAGTAATAAAAAACAAAAAAAAATCCAGCAAAATAATTTAACAACTTACTAATCTATTGACATCTATCTAGCTACTTAGTCATACTCTAAATTTGTGTTCTACTGACTAAAAACTCAACTTTGCTAGTTTTCATCTTTGACATTTACAAAGGATAAAGTGATTTTCACTAGTAAAATAGACATAATGGGTATAAGTTACATGTTATATATTCAGGTTATATATTACATCAGTATGGTGTATCAGAATCAATTTAGAGGCAAATCAAACCAGTTGGGATAACACATTTTGCTTAGCATATTGTACTTTATAAAATGACCTACTAAAAACAAAATTACAGCATTAATTTCAATGATAATATACTATTTAGATATTTAAAAGCTATTTGGGCTGAAAACATAAAGAACCATGTACACTCAGAAGGTCTGCAATACAATTGAGACCCGAAAACAAGCCATATTTAAAGGATAAAAATTCTCTTTCAGTGAAGTGCACACATGCATGCACGTGCATGCACACACAAACATACACACACACACACACCCCTTAAAAATAGTCACATAAATGATACATACTTTGCCTTTGCCTTGCTTCTGATTTTTTCCTTCAATGTCCTCAAAATCTGTGTCAGAAGAAAAATGTGTTTCTGACTCCCTATGACAAAAAGATAAGCAAACATTTTAAACCTTTCTTACAAAAGTAGGTAATGTTTCCAATTTTTTAATATCTATAAAAGAAAGGCATTGTTGAATTATAACAAATCAGCAAGTCACAAATAAAACAGAGTTATAGATGTAGAAAATGGGATGACAGGAGTAGGAAGGAGATAAAAGAGGATGTAAGACCGGGTGGTGGTTGTGGTACACACTTTTAATCCCTGCACTTAGAAGGCAGAGACAGGCAGATCTCTGTGAGTTCAAGGCCAGCCTGGTGTACAGAGTGAGCTCCAGGGCAGTCAGGAGTATACAGAGAAACCATGTCTCAGAAAACTAAAATCAAAACCAAACAAAAACAAAAACAAAATAAACTATTTTGCCATTCAATATTAAATCATTAGAGAATCTTAGCAATATCTACAGTTCCTCTGACTTCTACTTCATTCAAAAGATTTATACATAATATAAATACAAAAATATACTATATAAGTATATATCACTACAAAATGTAATTCTGAATGAATATAAAGAGAGATCTCATAAAAACTCATATAAAATAAACTGAAACATAATAGAGAACTATGCTAAATGCTCAAAAACCTTAATGAAGTAAACAGGCAGTAAACTAATAAGGATAATCCATTCTAATACTAAATAGCAGTGATCTTGCAGAAATAATCTCAGTCTTCTCATCTATAACACAATATACAATATACACAGTCTCTTCAACTTCCAACAGAAAAAACTAGTCCTAAAAAAAACTGGCCCTTGTTTTTAGTGGGAATAGGAATAACTTTGCATAACCTGAATTTTCTCAATACTCACAAAAAAACTGATTTAAATAAAATTTAAGTAGCATGCATGGTTTTTTATATCGTGTGTGTGTAAGAGAGAAAAAGAGATAGATCATGTACAAACTAACCCTACCCAATTTAGACAGTTAAAGCAAGATATATATATTGGTATTTACATAACCATTGGGTTTTCACAATAAAGCTACCATGAAAGATAACGGAATAGCCATTGAAAATGAGTCAGTTCTGCTTCAAATAAATGGAACCAAAGGGAAAGACTACCTTTATAAAGGCAATCCTTTCTATCTAGATTTCTTCTATTTCTGTTTTTATTCCTGTAATATTACCAGCTGTCCAGACACTGTTGAGGTAGGAATACTTCATAAATCTAAAGTAATGGTTAACATACTACAAAGAAAAATTACTATTTATAGTACTTACCTACAAAGTAATTAAAACAATATACTGAAGATAGTGTGAATCCTAACTGTGCCCTATCATGTTGATGTAATAAATACCAGTTCTGAGTACTAATTACTATTCAATTAACTACTATAACCTTAACCATGAAATTTAAAAGATGATTGCTTCTGGACAGTGATGGTGCACGCCTTTAATCCCAGCACTCAGGACGCAGAGGCAGGGAGATCCCTTTAGTGCAAGGTCAGCCTGGTCTACAGAATGAATTCAAGGACAGCTAAAGCTGTTACACAGAGGAACACCATCTCAAAAAACAAAACAAAACAAAAACTTAAAAATATGGCTGTCACTGATATTCTTCTATAATTAAATATAGTATGGTGAAGTAATTAAAACCTTTTTAAATATTTTCATACATAAATTATATTCTTTCCTTCCCAGGTACTTGGGAAGCACTAACTCTAAGCTCAGTAACTGCTAAAAATCTGAACAGTAGCCTTCCCAATACTCTAATGGCCACAGAAGAGCCAAAGGCTCAAGAACATTCTTATTCCTCCCAACAACCTAAACCACAAGAATACGTCACTAGGAATAAAAACTGAATCATCAAAATGGGAATTTAACCCCCACACTGAAAAAAATAAATTCTCCCCAATTCTGTCTAAATTATACTGTTTCATAGGTGAAATGACATATTTATTAATATGTTGACAAAAATATTGAGATAACCCTTCTATGGTTGGATATAGGACTCATCTACTAATAACAGGACTAAATGAATCTTCTTTTCTCACTGTCCTTTACATCTCAGATCCCCAAGCAAATGCTGTTTATTCTACTCTCATCAATCCTAATTATCGATTATCCTATTAGAGATCCATATTAAAGTATTCTAAATTAATACTCTAATCTATAGTATGAACTTTTTAATGATCTTGAATCTTGATGTACATAAAAAATTGTATAATTTTTTCTTAACTTTAAAATAAGAGCTCATAAAAGAAGGCATACCTCCTGTCTTAATTTCTTACACTGTCCTATACATCTTCAGGAAAAGAATTTGCTATTTGAGGAATGATTTTACTTTGGTAAGCAGGCCCTCATTATGAAGCCCAGTCTGATCTCAAACTCTCAATCTTCCTGACTCCACTTCACAAGTGCCGGGATCACAGGCATGTATGTAGCACTAAACGTGGCCCACTAACTCCTTATTTTTTTAAAAAAAATCAAGACTTGGAGAAAGTCTGACTGAAGATGTTATTTTTCCATAGAAACCTTAATGTATAGCAACAATATACTGTGATTAAAATATCATAGATTGGGCTGGAGAGATGGCTCAGAGGTTAAGAGCATTGCCTGCTCTTCCAAAGGTCCTGAGTTCAATTCCTGGCAACCACATGGTGATGGAGGAAGGTCATTGGCTAATAAAGGAACTGCCCTGGCCCATTTTATTGGTTAGAGGATAGGTGGGAGGAGTAAACAGAACAGAACGCTGGGAGGAAGAGGAAGTGAGGTCAGAGACTCCACAGCTCTGCTCTCTGGAGCAGACGCCTGAGAGAGACGCCATGCCCCGCTCCCGGGATGAAGCTCTGACCCAGGATGGACATAGGCTAGAATCTTCCTGGTAAGCGCACCTTGGGGTGCCATACACAGATGATTAGAAATGGGCTAAATTAATATGTGAGAATTAGCCTAGAAGAGAATGGGCCAAGCAGTAATTAAATGAATACAGTTTTTGTGTTGTTATTTCGGGCATAAACTAGCTGTGCGGGCGGCTGGGGTGCTGGGGACACAGCCCCACCGCCCTTATTACTACAGTTGGCGCCCCACGTGATGGACTAAACCCACTTAAAAAAACCTGAGAAGGCTTAAAAATAAGGGAAAGAGAGTTTAACACAGATTTTTGCTGTTTGTTGGTGGCGTGCTGTAGAGAGATTTCCTGATTCGGCAACAGTAGCAGAAAAAACGCTGTGTCATTTTAAAGCGCGACTTCCTGGGGCTGTGCCGCCATTGCGATCTCTGTCTGGCTCCTGTGGGAGACAGAGCTTTTGAATAGAGCATTTGGAGTAAAGTGCTACGATTTGTTTGATGGCAACTAGACTCGCTGTGTTCTCGGGTCTGCTCTGCTTGTTAGAGGCAAGCATGCGCTTTCATCTAAGAGAGGCTTCCTGACTCAGCTTTAGCTGCAAAGCCTGCAGCTCATTAAGAGGTCCTGCCACGAAACACTTAAACGGTGTTGACGAAAAGCTGAACGCATGCTTTTTGGTTTTCAGCCATAGCAGGAAAAAAGCTGCGCCGTTTAAAAGTGCCGGCTTTCTGGGCCATCCTGCCAGGGCAAACTCTGACTGTTTGAGGCAGGAGGGCTGGCTACCGAGAGAGAGGACTTGAGTGTTATCTGTTGTAGCTCACTTGCTGGCAGGGACCTTGAAATGCCATACAGTTGTTGCAGTAAACATGGCTACAGCCTGTATATCCGCCATGAGGCTGGAAAGCTAAGGAATGGACTGGATCTAGCTGGCAAAGCCACGCCTTTAGTCCTACTGAGATTGCTTGGTAAATTAAAGATTCATGTGGTCAGAAAAAGAGAGATATACAGTAAAGAGAGATTCAAAGACAGAGAAAATTTCTGAATGGTTTAAAGTGTGTTAAAAATATATGCAGACTAAAAGTGGAAGTTCTTAAAGTAAAAAACAAAAAGAGAGTTGTTGTGTGTGGTAGCACACGCCTTTAATCCCAGTGCCTAGAAGGCAGAGACAAACAGATCTCTGTGAGTTCAAGGTGTAGTAGCTTACACCTTTAATCCCAATGCCTGGGAGGCAGAGACAGGCGGATCTCTGAGAGTTCAAAGACAGCCTGGTCTACAGAGTTACTTCAGGTCAAAGATACAGAGAACCTGTCTCAAAAAGCAAAGAGTTAAAAGTAAGAATAAACAAAATAGAGGTTAAAACAAAGCTGCACAAAGATGGAAAATACACAGAGAATTTTGATACTGTATGCTATTATGCTCTCTTTGAATTGTTTGAATGCTGAGGAAGGAGCAACAGCTGCTAAAAGATATTTACTTATAAATGCTGCTAAACTAATCCAACATAGATATTTTGGATTTGGATCTAAGGATATGATGCTTTGGAAAGGAGTTTCTTATTTTGTTTTCACAGAGGATGAGACGCTGTTCATTTCTTCTATTCCGATTTGGTATGATAGACCACGCCCTCCTGAAGGGTTGCAGTGAACATCTTCAAAAAATTACTTCACTCAACTGCCAACTGAGATGAAACTAGCACACAGGTTATACCATGAAAGACCTAATTAAAGATGCCCCCATTCAGCAGGAAGCAGTTTGGAGAGAAATAACTGCACCCATATTCCCAAATAATGTTTATAAATGTTCTTTTACATATAAAGGGGGATATGATATAGGTATGAATAATTTGCATTAGTATAGATTTTGCTTCATTGATAGAGATTTAAGGTCAATTTTGTTATATGTATAAGTGTTTCTGATTTTGATTAAGGTATTATGATTGTGTAGTTCGTTTAAATATGCACTGTATAATTAAGAAATATAGGTTGTTAATGGATAATCATCGATAATAGTAAAGCTTGTAGTCATGTTAGTTAGATTTTCTAGATATATAGAGATATGTTTCAGATAGACATTCTTCATGTCTTTCAAAGATTACAGAATAGGACATTTAATGTTTTAATAACTGAGGACTTTTCATGACAATGAGACACTCTGCTCCTGGCAGCACCAATGTACTTCAAGAGGAAGATGTGCATCGAAGAGGCACCTTATGGAGTTTGATAGCCATTTGGGCAAGAAACTGCTCTTGCCTGGACTATTGCATAAACTGGACACAGAGAACCCGCAGAGAGAGGACTACTGAACTTGCCTAAGGTGAGAAGATCTTTCGGGGTTCCTGATTCATGAAAGAGTCTGCGAGACATTCTGCAGGACACAACAGATAGTGACTGAACTGACTTTGAATTTTCCTGCTTTATGGAAATGTCTGCTGGATACCATGGGCCTGAAGGATGAAGATGGATGCCCCAACGGTACAAAAGAACTTTGGGTGACTGTCCAGGCAGCGAGATGTCTTTGTCATTTCTAGAGTTTGAAGTTTCTTAGTTCTTGTTTACTTAGGTAATATTATATCTTTCTGGAGTCTTTGATGGAGTTAAGAATAGTTAGTTATAGTTATAGTTTTTCTTAGTTATGATAAAGATTATTGTAACTTTTACTTGATAACTGTTTTGTTATATGTAATTTTGCTATGTTAAAGTTAAAGCCTTTTTTTTTTGTTTAAACCGAAAAAGGGGAAATGATGGAGGAAGGTCATTGGCTAATAAAGGAACTGCCTTGGCCCATTTTATTGGTTAGAGGATAGGTGGGAGGAGTAAACAGAACAGAACGCTGGGAGGAAGAGGAAGTGAGGTCAGAGATTCCACAGCTCTGCTCTCTGGAGCAGACGCCTGAGAGAGACGCCATGCCCCGCTCCCGGGATGAAGCTCTGACCCAGGATGGACATAGGCTAGAATCTTCCTGGTAAGCGCACCTTGGGGTGCCATACACAGATGATTAGAAATGGGCTAAATTAATATGTGAGAATTAGCCTAGAAGAGAATGGGCCAAGCAGTAATTAAATGAATACAGTTTTTGTGTTGTTATTTCGGGCATAAGCTAGCTGTGCGGGCGGCTGGGGTGCTGGGGATGCAGCACCGCCGCCCTTATTACTACAACATGGTGGCTCACAACCATCTGTAATAAGGTCTGGTGCCCTCTTCTGTCCTGCAGACAGACACACAGACAGAATATGTATACATAACAAATAAATAAATAAATACTTAAAAAATATAGATTGGGCTAAAGATGTGATTCAGCATGATGCTTGGCTAGCGTGCCCTAGGTTTATTGAGTAGAAATGCATAAAAATGTGCATGGTAGTATATGCCTGCAACCCAAAAACTTGAGAAGGCAGGGGTTGCATGAGTTCAAGGTCATCTTAGGCTACTACATAGGGTATATGTAGCCTAACTTTTGGAGACTATATAACTCAATAGCAAATACTAGTATGCATAAGGTCCTGTGTTAATCCAAGAACATCAAGAAAAAGCCATAATATTAGCAAAACCCCAATACTCATAATCTCAACCAAACAAAAATTATTAAGAATATGAAAAGCTGGGGCTGGAGAGATGGCTCAGCGGTTAAGAGCATAGCCTGCTCTTCCAAAGGTCCTGAGTTCAATTCCCAGCAACCACATGGTGGCTCACAACCATCTGTAATGAGGTCTGGTGCCCTCTTCTGGCCTGCAGGCATACATGTAGACAGAATATTGTATACATAATAAATAAATAAATAAATAAATAAAAGAATATGAAAAGCTACACATTAACAAATGCAGAAACTGGCTCCTATGTAAAATAGTATCTATATAGTCAAAAGTTTTATCCAAACTTTTCTACTAAATCAAGTTTCATAATCTAACAGGATCTAACAAGAAATTGTGTGTATGTTAAAATAAAGCCAAGCAGATCTACAGGCAATTTAAAGGCTCATTTTTATTCAGACACCTCAAGGAACCATTACTTTATATAAAAACAGATACCCAGGCATAGTGGTGTGTACCTTTAATCCCAACACTTGCAAGGCAGAGGTGAATGGATCTTTCTCGACTCTCTCTCTCTCTCTCTCTCTCTCTCTCTCTCTCTCTCTCTCTCCCCCTCCCTCCCTCCCTCCCTCCCTTTCTCTCTCCCTCCCTCCCCTGTTGGTTATAGGCCAACCACAGCTACATAGTGAGACCCTTTCACAAAAATTCACCCACATCTACATGTGTGCATATAATATGACTCTTACAGAGACAGGAGACAGGGTCACTGTATAACCCAGAGAGACCTAGATCTCATTATATAGCTCAGGCTAGCCTTGAACTTGATATCCAGGCATGGTAGCATACACTTTACTCCCAGTAAAAAGGAAATACTGCGAGAGCTACTATTTCCCACCAAAAAAAGAAACTAAGAAAAAAAAGGGGATAATTACAATAAAAGCAAACTAAAGGGTATAGGGAGTGATTCTTAGATGTTTATTTTATAGGTATTAGTGCTCTATGTGCATGTATGTATATCTGTGCACCATGTGCATGCCTAGTGCCCAGTGGTGTCCCTGGAACCAGAATGATACACAAGAAGACTATGTGAGTACTGGGAAATGAACCTGGTGGCTCTGCACGCAACAAGTTCTCTTACGTACTAGCTACCTCTTCAGCCTCAAGAGTATAGGTAATTTTAAAGACAGGATAGGGAAATGGGTGAGTTATCAAGCATTCATACCTTTTTAGACCAATATGTATATAACTTGTTTCTGAAACGAATGACTGACATGTCTTACCCTCATTTGATTTAAAAATAAATCTTGATGTGACAACCTAAATACTTATGTATGGTATGATTCCTTATTAACAAAAAGATTTGACATTTTAATAATCTTGATATTCTCCCTCAAAGCAACTAGTACTATGTGGTGATTTGAAAGAGAATAGCCCCCATAGGCTCATATGCTTGGTACCCAGTTACTGACTATTTTAGAAGGTTTAAGAAATGTAGCCTAATTGAAGAAGATGTGTCATTTGAGAAGTGGGCTTTGAAGTTCCAAAAGCCCACAACAGAAGTCTCTCCTCCCTCTACCCACTGCCTACAGATCAGAATGTAAAGTTCTCAGCTACTGCTACAGTGTCATGTCGGTCTGCTTCGCACCATGATGGTCATGGACCAACCCTCTAAAACTGCTAAGCAAGCCCCAATGAAATGCTTTCTTTCTAAGAATCATGGTGTCTCTTTCATAACAGTCATGGTGTTCTCCACAGCCACTAAGGCACACTACAATACCAACAATGGACTCAAAACTTCCCATCAAAAAATTATAGTAGAGGCTGGAGAGATTTCTCAGTAGTTAAAAGCATACAGTGCTCATGCAGTGTTCACTTTCCAGTAACTCCAGCTCCAGGGAATCTGACGCTGTCTTCTGGCTTTGACAGGCAACTGCATATACATACACATACCCACATATAGACACATGCACATACACATAACTGAAAATAAAATAAATATTTGCAAAGTGATAGTATAATGTACCATATGTAAATTTTAAAAATAGATCCAAAATATTACAGAAGTCCTAAAAAAATTCAATGACTACCAATTAAAATAAACTTCGAAAACATACACGCTAACTTATATATTAAGAACAAGGAGAAGTAATTTAATCAAAATTATCATTTCAATTTTGTGAGAAAAGACAAATCCTTAAACATTACAACAATACAAAGTACTTACTGTAGTAGATTAAAATCAGTTGGTATTTCTGGAGCTGCTATCATTTCTTTATCATCTTCTGGAACACCCCAATGTCAGAAATATATTCATATATTTATGTGAGTTAAATGATGGTGTGCTTCCTCTCAGAAAGGCGTTCCTTTAAAGAGGAGAAAATATTCATTATAAATACACTACAAACATCAAGAAATATTCACTCAAAAGCTAAATTCCCCAATGTCTCTTAATGTGTTTTAGTAAATAAGTATTTTGTTCTCTTCCATTTAGCTAGATGTTAAGAACTTACAGAGCTACAGTAATAACACAACAAAGATGATTGTATCATACAGTTTTGTTTAAAATATCTCATGACTCCTAGCCTTGTGATTGTTCTGTGTGTTCCTCTCTCTCTATCCATTAATCTACCCATGTATATACAAACTTGTTTTTATGTGTATTCTCATGTGTATATATACATACAACATGAAGCACACATAAACATCATGCATATACAAATAAATACATATTAAAAAGGAATAGAATATTGCTCTTACTAAAGTCGAAGTCCCTAAAAAAGTTTAAATCATAATATAATAAGTATGCCTAAATCTTTTTTATCTTTTTACTGATGGTATTCAGACATGGCTAAAGGAGCATTTAAAAACTAAGATATAATTTGAAAAGAATAAGTTTTTCTACCCTTGATACAGCAAAAGGTTTGGTTTACTAATAAGCAGCTGTTGTGTTAATACCATGTTCTGTTGAAAAGAGTAAAAAAATGTAAAAATGATTTTGATCTGTTCCCCTCTTGATGCATATACAAACAGTGTGAATAACATTGGTCAGCATGCTTGAGTGTGATTCCCAACACAACAAATAAAAACAAAAGTCACAGAAACACAAGAATGCTACTTGTTGCCAGGCAGTGGTGGCTCACACCTCTAATCACAGAACTTGGAAGGCAGAAGCAAGTGGATATTTGTGAGTTTGAGACCAGTCTGGTCTTCAGAGTGAGTTCCAGGACAATCAGGGTTACACAGAGAAATCATCTCAAAAACACCATAAGAGAACAAAAAAAAGAGTGAATGCTACTTTTAGTGGCATACACCTATAACCCCAGCAGTCATGAGTTTGAGGTCAGCCTAGTCTACATAGCAAGAATGTATCTCAAACAAAAAGGATGACACTTTATACCAAATTAAGTATAAATCTGAGCATGAGAAAGGAATTGCTTTCTAACTTTGAAGGTCACAGGTACACCCTCCTAAACGAAAAAATGATCTGCTATTGAATGACTAGTATATAACAGAGAGGGAAAGGGCCAATAGGCTAAAAGCTAATGTCTGAATGTCTTACCATAAAAAAATATAAAATCTTTCTTATTTATTATACGACTATGTGTCACATGTGGAGGTCAGTGGACTTTGTCATGCTGACTCCTTCCATATTTGTGTAGGTTCCAGAGATAAAATCCAGGTTGTCAGATTTGAGTAGCAATGTTTATATCTGCTGAGTTATCTAACCGAGCTTGTTTTTTTGTTTTTTTGAGACAGTACCTTACATATCCTATACTAGCTTTGAGGACAACCTTGAACTCTTGATCCTCCTGACTCATTTCCCCAGTACTAGGATTACAGATATACATCAGAACACTTGGCCTTTTATAGGTTTCAGTCTTATGTTTCAGTTCTGATTTTGTCTTTCAAAGAGAACCTAAATCTCTGTGAGTTCAAGACCAGCCTGGTCTACAAGAGCTAGTTCCAGGACAGGCTCCAAAACCACAGAGAAACCCTGTCTCGAAAAACCAAAAAAGAACCTAAATATTTGGTGGTCGCCTAAAAGTACATGAAGGCCTGTGAGATGATGAAGTAGGTAAAATCACCTCCCATCAAACCTGATTATCTGAATTCAATTCCTGGGACACACATGAAAAAAAAAAACTGACTACCTCAAACTGCCCAATGGCCTCCATATATGCACCAAGACATGTATACCCACACCAAGACTCACGTATTCCTACACACACATATAGGTAAATACATGTAAAAGTAAAAAAAATTTTAAAGTAGGTAAAGCTAAATATTATCTTATAAATGCTCAAATACTGGTGAAATTCTAATGACCTTTTCCAATAAAGGAACAAAAGGCTGAGTGTGATGCTACACATCTATACTTCCAGCAATCAGAAAACAAAAGCAAGAGATATTCTAGTTTCAGGATAGTCTGGACTACACAGTGAGTTCTAGGTCCCTAGTAAGAAAGAAAAAGGTGAGCAGAGAAAAGAAAATAAGATCCAAGAAAAGGAGTAAGTCCATAAGAAACATGAATTGACAAATAAAAATGTGTTCAAAGCACTATTTCCTAGCTTATACTATTATCAGGGTGAAATTTAAAAAAAAAATCTTTACAAGTATTTATGCAGCATGAATGGTAGTGTAAGCCTCTAACCACAGAACTGTGGAGTCAAGGCAAGATCAGACGTTCAAGGTCATCAATGGCTACATAAAGTTCAAGACTAACTTGCCTACCTGAAATTGTCTCAGAAAAAAAGAAAAAGAATATTCTGTGGACAGCAACATAACAAATTCACAGTGCGAAATCATTCAGTTTACCTTCTATCTAAAAGGTCCTCATACTCTAAAATTTTAAACTATACCTACTATTAGTATGGTCTTCCTTATACCCTAAATTACTGTTCCCCTCCAGTAATGTAATCCAGCTTTTATTACTGTATCCTAAACAAATGTCTAATAGTCTGTATTTCCAAGGTTTGTAATGTCATCTTTGTCTTCTAATGCCCTATATAATCTTTTAAAAGTGATTTGAAATTTTAAGGGAACTGTAAAGGCTCAGACAAATCCTGCCAACACTTCGCGGTAAGATTTTAAAAGTATACGAAAGCCATCTATGCTGTGTCACTGCATCTCTGAGCACTTCCAACAAAAACTGTGGGGCCTGAAGTATTGTTCAATGGTAATACTAAACAGAACAATGATCTTTCTTATGGAACTACCTATACAAAAAATTTCTTAGAGAAATATAAGGATTTCTCTAAGAAAGCATATACCTCTTAAACCTAAAAATGCCAAACTTCATATATTTTGGAAAGCCTAGGATGTAGAGTGATACCTTGTTTCAAATACATATATTTATATATAATTATATATAATATGTTATATATATATATATATATATATATATATATATTATACTCGAGAGAGTGTCTCATATATTTGAGACAGGGTCTCACTATATACCCCTGGCTGTCCTGGCATTACGACAGAGAACAAACTAGCCTTGAACTCACAGAGATCCACCTGCTCCTACTCCCCAAGTATTGGGACTAAAGATGTGAGTCACCACTGCCCAGGAGTTTTTGATATTTTAATCATCTGGCTAACTTATTAGCTAAACAAACAGCATTATAACTTAACAAAAATCACAAAGTTGCTTTGGGATTTAGAAGAGAACACAGTGCGTAAAGTTGCTACTAGAAATGTTTTCCAAAATCAAAGTTTTAGAAATCAAAAAGTTGAGACTATTTTAAATGTCTATACCTGCATGTGAATACAATTTGCTTTTTCCCAAAAACTTAGATTACAAAATTTATTAAATAATGCCTTCATTCAAGTCTCGTGGCATAGGTCTATAATCCCAGTACTAAAAGGCACGAGGCAGGAGGATCCCAAGTTCAAGGACAGTCCAGACTTGACAAACTTAGTGAGAGCCTGTCTTAAAATAAAAAGCAAAGAAGAGGACTGGGGATAGAGCAGAACATTTGCATAGCAAGTGCATGGTGTTATGTTCAGTCTCCATTACACTACCTCTCCACCAAAAATGTCTTTAAATATATTTAATTACACAATAGAACTTAAGAACATACAATGTTTAAATAAATACATAAAATATTAAAACACTACTGCAGGCTATTAATTTAAAAAATATATATGCTCAAAGATCACAAGGTGGAGCTCTCACTCAATATCAAAGAAAAAGTTTGAAGTCTTGATCACATATAGGGATTCTCCGTAACTACTATAAAAGAGATGCCATCCCCACGACTGGGAAAGATAGAACACGGACATGAAGTGCGCATTAAGTCTCCAGGATTATTTTCCTTGAAAGGACCATCAGCATCAACTAGCTTCTATTTTTTCTTATTAAAAGGTTAACTATATTTAGTGTACATTTACAGGCTGTTATTCCAACTTAGATTATAAGTTAAATTTAATAACAAAAACATCTTCTGGGACTGGGTTGCACTACAAAACAGAGAACTTGTATTCTATCTGAAGCAACCAACACACACGGAAGTGACTTTCAGTTCTGAATACATGAAGAAACTTTAGTGAAATAAATAAATGTATATAAATAAAAATAATTACATCTTTAGCTACAAAAACTGATTTGTAAAATTCACTTAAATTATACCACAAAATTGAAGCAAGCAAAAAAACTGATATTTTGCGATGCTGTTTAAAAAATAAGAGTAACTTTAATTTTTCCTTTGAGAAGAATAATTGTTGGAAATGACTTTTAATTCAATCGCAAGCAGTCCAAACAGAGTGAACAGATCATGACTAACACAGTCACTCAGAATCCATGTATTACTGGGGAATCTGGTAACGAACACCTAAGCAGCTGAAGCATTAATTCTATCAAAAAAATTCTTCAGCAGCTAAATGCTGGTGAATTCATGCACACCACGTCGTCATCTTAGTGTTCCTCCCCAAAGTCACACTCTTCTACTCATTAATATCATATCTAAGATATGCATACGCTCTTCCAAAATGCCACTGACATTATAAAACAAGCACTGAAAATTAAATGTCCAACCATGAATTAAGTGGCTGTACATCACTGTAAGTAATGAAACATTTAACAATGAAACTACTTATGATTTTGTATCAATGTAAATATGATACATTTAAGAACAATACACTATAAACTGTATATTAATAGTAACAAAAAAAGGTGAAAATAGCCAACATCAGACTGACCAACATGTGAGTGGTTTTTCAATTTGTAACTTACAGTCTTATTGTTAGTACAAGAAAAGTTAAATTCTGAAAAAGAATTGTACTCCACAAGGTCCATACAGTGGCACAGCCTGTCATTCTAGTACCGGAGAGACTAAAGCAGAAGAAAGAACACAAGTTT